CATACCGCCTACAGCGCGTGCAGCAATGAGTCTGGCTCAGGACAATACAAGCGCATGAAAGAGCATATGGCAAACTACGTTGATCAAGAGCGAGACAACATGTTTCGTGAAGTGCTCGAAACTGTCGTCAAGCATCTCGACGACTTGTGCAAAGCACTGCAAGAGTCCATGGAAGCCAAAGCCGATGAGATCCTTGTTCTTATGAACAGGGACTACACTCGGGGTGGTGTGGATGGTAGCCAGCCCGTTTATTTGCAGTCGAGGGAAGCTAGTGAGCTCAGATCAGATGTCAGAGAGATCTTGGAGGGCGTCAGTGCGCAGTTCGAGCCCATCGCCAATGCCGATATTGCACGAGATGAGGCTGCGAAGACGAACGACGCGTGCAGTGAAGGAGAAGAGCGCAGCAACGTCAATGCGCAAGAAACCCGGAGTATCTTCGATTCTACTCATGAGATTGTTGAGGATGCTGTTGATGGAGCAGATTCAACGAACACCCAGCCATCTGCTAAGAAGCAGAAGGACGACACGGGCACGGAACATGCTAATCTACGTGCCACAGTTGAGGACGACATTGATGAGGCGATGTAGATCGTCTCGCAGCTATGGCAACATAGCGGCATGTTAGCTTTCAGTGACCTTACTGCTTTCGATCCGCTGCATTATACCCCTGGCGTGTGCCGATTTCTTAAGCGGGCGTTCAACATGGATATCAGTTCACATATCGGCGAGTTGATCCGATGGGTTTCAGTTTTACGAGTTGCGGCCTCATGCGGAGAGTGCTGGAAAGTATGCTCTTTCGATGAGCGTTCAGGGAGCAGACTAGAAATCTTCCCTGCCATTTCAATCGGTGCTTCTCCAGTATCTTTAGTGTCGGCTTTGGCCACTGGCGAGCTCTCGTTCGTTGGCCGGCCAGAGACATGCCCATCTTGTAGTAGTATCTTACTGATGCATCTCTTGACTAATCTTTCTGACGGCTTGTGCACTTGTGAATGTGATCCCAAGCAGTATATGCTGCATGCTGTACTTTTAGACCAAGTATGCTAGTAGTCTATCGTTTATGCGCTCCTGAGCGACTAATTGTCCATTACCAAACCCCAAAACGCCGCGTCGTTATGCCGTTTACCAACGTACTGCCCCATTTAATCGTCCCACTCCTCATCCAGGTTGTCTATCAACCTATCCTCATCTTCGTTCCTGCGTCCTCTTCGCCCACTGTCCTGGCCAAGCGAGACGCGGCTGTAGCCCCGGCGGGAAGGCATAAAGCGCGCACACGAGGAAGTAAGAATGATGAACATGTCCTTCACGATGTCAGCAACACCAACAAGACATTTGTAAACGTGTCATCACCACCGGGCGCTACTACTACTACTCCTTCTACGACAACATCGGAGTAGACTTACAGAGAAGAAGCGCCAGATACCTGCCCACATGGCGTAGTTGGGCAGCTGTCTCCATCCGCGCTGGTGCATGACTGTGCGCTGGTAGACGCAACCACCAGCAAAGTATACGAGCACGGCGATCAATACAATGACACCAAAGACACCACCAGGGCCTAGAGCTTGGGTGTCCTGGTGTACGCCACCGCATGCGAAGGGTGAGCGGCCCTCGAAGAAGTATGAACAGTCGTCTACTGCAGCGACGAAGGATACACTAGTTTTCGCAAGCGGGTCATTGTCACACAGCAGAGAGATGATGGTGGTCTTGCGGCGCTCGACATCTTTCTTAGGTTTCTTCTTGTCGCCGCCATCCTTATCGTCGTCGTCGTCGTCGTCGTCGTCGTCGTCGCCGTCGATGATCTCGCGGGTGTCGAGAGAGGTGGGCTCGAGCGTGCGCTTGGACTTGGAGGATAGAGAGGGGCAAAGCGAGCCACCGGTGTAGTTGAGAATAAGTTTGCGACCGCGGAAGATGGGCTCTGAGTTCTCAAGACTGAAAGTTGTAAGTTGTTAGCATTGCGCCCCAGTAAATGTTCCTGCCTGGTCGCAATCAAGCATCTCGACTGAGACCCCTCCATCTTTCCCCGCCGTATAGAATGCAGACTCACCCTATCGCCCATTGCTTGTCTCCTTTCTCGTAGAATGCACTGACGTTCTTCCACAGTCCCTTGTCTAGCTCCTCCACTTTGTCCAATTCCTCAACTACCGGTCCACAGAAGTTGATCGTAAAGTTGGCGTTGTAATCATAGCCCTTGGCATGCCAGCTGCCCTCGTCGCCCTCCTTCTTGCTGTTCTTCTTGCCATCTGATTCCGATGGTGGAAGGCGCCGCATGGGGTTTAGGTCGAAGAAGCGCTCGGATGTGGGCGAGATGACGGTACATGGCTTGAGCTGTTTGTCCGAGGCGGCCGCTGCGAACGAGCCCGACGCTGCCAGAAGCAGGAGAGAGTAGATTAGGGATAGCATCGCGTAGTTGATGATTGGCGCACTACGCAATGCAAGGGTCGAGGCGTGGTGACGGTGGAGGTGAAGATGATACGATTGTTCATGTTCGCAACACGTTGGCTTCCGGCGCCGCGCCCCCATGTCTAGGTGCCTTGCAGCGGCAGGAACCTCGGGCGGTAAGGCCAAAAGGGGTTAGACTGGCCAAGACAGCGTGTGCGCGTCATTACGGCTGCAATGCATTCCGAGATATTTCCCATCGTCTGATGTGCTCAGCCTCAATCATCACTATATAGAACACTGCATCCGTAGTCGTCTTTGGTTCAGGCGGCGCGACAATCACCATCGGTGAAGACAAGAATTGAGAGAAGGCACCCTTGTTGTGAAGACGCGACCGGACCCCTATTTGTCGACCTCGCTTACTTTGCGACTTTAACCGCGCAAAGAACGCGACAAGGCGTAACCAAAAACATGTCGAAAGCAAAGACAGACAAGGCGACCAAGTCCATCGCCGAGGAACCTCATGGCTACGAATTTCTAGGACCGTAAGTTTATCCACGCCTTGACGACCACAGCGCTAACCACATTCCAGCCCTGGAGCTTTCATCATCTCCTTCGGTCTTCCGGTTTTGGTCTATGTCTTCACATTCCTGTGCAATGACATCTCTGGATGCCCAGCCCCTGTTCTACTGCACCCGCACAGCTTCAGCCTTGAACAGCTGAAGAAGGAGGTAGGATGGCCTGGCTTCGCTGGTCTTCTCAACACCCAAGCTTTTCTTGGTACCTTAGGTTACTACTTCTTGAGTCTGGCTCTTTATCGATTCCTTCCAGGCCAGGAAGTCGAGGGAACGGAGCTCAGGAGTGGTGGTAGGCTCATGTACAGGTTCAACGGTATGTTCACCCCATAGGAATCTTCTTTCCTCAAAGCTAATAAGACACAGCCTGGAACTCTGCTATCTTCATCATGACTCTCCTTGCCGCTGGCACCATCTCTCATGGTGCGGAGTTTCCCGTCTGGACCTTCATCACTGACAACTACGTCGGCATCCTGACAAGCAACATCCTCATCTCCTACTTCTTGGCCACTTACTGCTACGTCGCCTCTTTTGGTGTCAAGCATCCCAAGGATCCCAACATGCGTGAACTCGCTGCTGGTGGCCGTACCGGCAACATGCTCTATGACTGGTTCATCGGACGTGAGCTGAATCCCCGTATCAACTTGCCCATCTTTGGCGAGGTAGATATCAAGGCTTGGTGTGAACTCCGCCCGGGTATGCTTGGTTGGATCATCCTCGACCTCGCTTTTATCATGCAGCAATACCGCAACTTTGGCCGCGTCACTGACAGCATCATTATCGTCACCGTTGCCCACACCGTCTACACTTTCGATGCGCTGTACATGGAACCCGCTATCCTTACCACCATTGACCTTATCGCTGATGGCTTCGGTATGATGCTTTCCTTTGGCGATCTTGTTTGGGTCCCTTTCACGTACTCTATTCAGACTCGCTACCTATCCATCTACCCAGTTGATCTTGGCCCCATGGGAGTTGTCGGCGTGCTGGCCGTCCAGGGTATTGGCTACTACATTTTCCGCTCAGTCAACAACGAGAAGAACCGTTTCAGGACCAACCCCGAGGACCCGCGTGTCAAGCACCTCAAGTACATCGAGACTGCTGCTGGTTCGAGACTTCTTGTCAGTGGCTGGTGGGGTATGGCGCGTCACATCAACTACCTTGGTGATTGGTTCATGAGCTGGAGTTACGTCCTACCTACTGCCATGTCTGGCTACCTCATTAAGAACGCTGCACAGTCTCCCATCACTGCCACTCAAACCGATGCGTACTTTTTCAAAGACAGCTACGGCAAGTACGCGGTGCCCGGCGAGGCTAAGGGCTGGGGTATGATCTTCACATATTTCTTCATGGTATACTTTGCCATCCTGCTCATTCACCGCGAGCGTCGCGACGAGGAGAAGTGCCGCAGAAAGTACGGCAAAGACTGGGACCGCTATGTCGAGCTTGTTCCGTGGAGGATTGTTCCCGGTATCTACTAGAAGGTCCTTGTTCGGACCTTTAAGGGGATGGAAAGGGTGGGTGTGACGCTACCGTACGCTGCGGTTGAAGACGTGCATCCGTTACATTTTTGTTATGTATTTGTAAAAGAAGACTTGGGATGGAATGCTACCGCGAGATCGGTTGAAGACATACATTCACGCAAGAGTAAAGTATTGGGTGGGGAGGATGGAATGCTACCGCCCAGTCGGTCAAAGACATACATCCGCATAGGCTTAAGGGTAGGAGGGAAAGGGTTGCAACGCTATCGCAAGGACGATTGAAGACGTGCGCCGGAATCTTGAAGATACGTAGAGGAGCATGTAGCGCTATCGCTCTCGAGCGATCGAAGACGAACATGCCAATTATATAATGTTTATTACACGTCTCACAAGGAATAGTCCAAAGTGTAGAGAGAAGTTGAAAATTGCTATACTAGTCGTCAAGATGTCGCTGACCAGCAGCCAGCAAACCAAACAATGCGCCTTACACTATCATCTATAAACTAAACAAAAAGAAGGCAAGGCATAATCTCGTAGTTGAAACATTGGATCATAGTCGTCATCGTCATCATCATCGCACTGCAGCACCCTTGCGATACGTCCTAGTCTTCTCATCCCATCCATCATCCCCCAACCTCCTACTACCTCCATGGCTCCTCCTTTCCTTACTTGTTCCGTCATAGTCACTCTTGCTCCTCGTGTCAGCGTACTTCCGACCACCGTATCCACCTAGCAATAGCCCCGCTGCAGTGCCTAACCCAGGGAAAATGGCGTCCCCGATGATGGTGCCTGCACCTGCGCCGAGGAAGGTATCTCTGTTCTTATGCTTCTCTTCATGTGCTTTGTCATATGAGTGGGTTTTCCTAGGCTTGTGTCTACGGTGGTCGCGATCGCGGTCGCTGCGGTCTCTGTCAGAATCGTAGTCGCGGGTTGAGTGGCTGCGGTGTCGACCATGGTGTCTGCTGCTGCTGTGGCGGGGCGGCGGATACTCGTCGGGATCGGACACGGAGCCTAGACTTGTGCTGCGATCTGAGTCTTGGTCTGCGAAGCGCACACGTGCAGGTTGCGAGTGGCTTCTGTGGTGTTGGAGAGGAGCACCCAAGTAACCGTTGTTTTGAGGGGGTGCTTGCTTTGGTAGCGGCATTGGCTGCTGATGAGGGAAGTAGCCTGCGGGTGGTGTTTGTGGGTATGGCGCTGTCATGGCTTGAGCGTTCTTCTCAGGGTAAGGCTGGTATTGTTGTTGAGGTGGATAACCATGTGGTTGTTGCTGCGGTTGCTGGGAGTATGCTGAATAGGACGGAGGAGGCGTATTCGCATACGCAGGATTATGAACGTTTGGTTGCGGGTAATGTTGCGCAGGTGGTTGTTGATATTGTGGCGGCTTCTGTGGCTGAGATGAATATGGGTGTGGTGGGTGACTACCTGGCAGTTCTTGCGCAGCCTGCGTTCCGAGGGAGTATTCTTGGGCCGCCATCTCTTGTGGTCTTTGGAGATTTCTTGCAAAGAGATTTGTCACTGTCGGGAGGCGAAAACAACGGTACGACAGATGGTATTAGGTGTATGTGTTGGGAGATGTTGCAAACCGTAAGAGATGATAAGATCACAAGGCCTTGGCTAGATAAATACCAAGAGCGCGTGCATCTGTCACCAGTCCATACAGAGTACGCTGTCCATACGTCATTTGATCAACGGATCTACTTTGGGTTGCTTAGCATGCAGCTCGGCCTGTCCGGGGAGCTCGGCAAGCTTGTCGGCGCGAGGCTCACAGGAGGCAGACCTATGGCAAAATCCGGAGAGAAGCGTCCATGAGTTTCGGTTGCGCAACAGACAGCTGACGTGATACAAAAACAATTAGAAAGCTTTGACTCGGAAGGAACTTGTGGTTACGCTAAGGTATTGGTAGATATAGTGCCCGTGGGCTGGGTATCTTGATCATGATGAAAATGCGTCTACCAGATTGTGCTTGACGCAACGCCACACTAACCAAACGCCAAGAAAGAAAGAGCAAACTCCCGCTCCAATGAGCGTTTTCAACGAGACTCTGCCTATGCAATGCAAGCAGCTGGGCAAATTTCTCAGGACTTCGTCGCCACGCCTGTAGTCACAAGCGGAATGTTCTGCGCTTCAGCATCGTCTTGCTGGAGCCCATAATCCCTGCGCATGGGCACGCCTTCGACCTTCTTAACGTTCTTGCCTTCGTGCCACATCATGATGCCTGCAATACCTGCCACTATGCAGCCTAGCGCAACGAAGAGGCCAGTAGCCCATGACGGCCTCTCAATGCGGTTGTAGTGCCACATGTAGAAGCACAGAACGATCTGGAAAAAAGTGTTCCATACATTGTTCCAAATGACGAAATCCATCTTCCAACTCTTAGTGGGCGGCGCGCGAATCGCCGTGGGGGGTGGGTCTGGGATCGCCTTGACGGGTATTGGTACAGCTGGATCTTCGGGATCGACAACGGTCGCATCTGCTCCGTCAGGCAACCGATCTGAACCCGGAAGTCGAAACCATCCCCGATGTATCCCAGCAAGGCGGCGAATGCCCATCTCTTTGCGCTTCGATCCACCAATCCTCCAACATGCCCAATAGTATAGATCACGGAACCGCCAAGGTGCTAGACCAAATCCTGTAACGCAGAAGAGTGCGTTCAAGATCTGTGAGTCGTACTCGACCCACTTCCGGCGCGGAGAGTTGATGTCGTCACAGGTAGGTGTACACATGGCAGGTGCGGCATTGCAAAGAAGGAGGAAGAGCATGCCGCCCCAAGCGACAACGTTTAGGCTGTAAAGTGTAATGAGAAATCCGGCGGGGGTCAGGAACCACTTCCAGAAGCTTTTGAGACCGATCTTGAATGACTGGGTCCATGGCAGCTTAGGAGGTGGTACGTAGCCGTTGGCGTACTGTCTGACTGTTAGCACGAACATGTATGAGAGAGCAGGCGAAGACGTACATGGCCTGAAGAGGTCCTTTTTGGCTGGTGCGGCCTGTCATCGTCGAGGTGTTCTGTCGCAGTTTCGGAACTATGCTTCGATTGCACGCCAGCCGCGACATATTCGTCATGTCCATCATACCCCGCTGCTTGCCGTGTATCCTCTTCAGTCAAGGCAGGAAACGGCTCTGTGTTCAACGCATTGCTCGAAGAGACCTTGCGCTGACCACCGAAGTACGGGCGCTCAGATTGCTCGGCGGGGGACGCGGCATTGGTGGAAGTACGCGACCGCTGTTCGGCCTGACTTGCTCGTGAGCTTGCTCTCTTCCGTTGTGTATCCTCATTCCATCCATCAGAACCAAAAGAGCCCTTTCGAATGTCTGATAGCGAGGGGGCTTTGGCGGCTGTAGTTCCCGTAGCTGCCCACATGCCAGGCGGAGGGTTCACGTCCATAAGTTTTCCGGTCGCAGTACGAATTCTATTCGAGACGGTCGAGGCATTGGTCGAGGTGCGTTCGCGCGTCGTTGCAGAGGGTGACTCTACAGTAGGGCTCGATGCGTTGGGGCTGCGAAGGCCTTCGGGCTGAGGGAACGGCACCGGCGTTGGTACGCTACTATTCTGAGAAGCCATAGTTGCTAGAGGCAGGTCGCACGTTCGCGCCTGTTTTGTAGGGGAGTCGCCCCGTTCAAGCTTGTGTGCGGCTCAACGTGTCAGCCAAGGTGGTTGATCGCTGGTATGGTTGGCAATGATGCAGTGCCTTGGCGGGATCCTTGCTTTCCGTCTAATATCACTTGGGATGGTATATGTGTATTGGTACGAAACCTGCTTCGAAGAATAACAGGACTTGTATCATCAACGACATGGTTGCGAATGTGGGATTCCTTATAGTTGTTGACACCGGCGTGATGGGAAGGAAGTGGCCTAGATTGTTGCCGAAGCGGCTCTTGCCAACCCCAGACCCACTGACGTGCAGCGTCAAGCCACCCGCTAGATCGCTCTTTAGTATACGAATACGCGTAAAGGTGCTTCGCCACACATCATGGCGTCGCTGTAAACGCGTCAAGGTTAGACTTGCGAGATAACTCATGAAATTTGTGCGATGCTGTTATTCGTTTATATTTTGTATCTAGGAGGTTTTTGCTCGGATGCTCCACCCACAACAACCCATCTGTTCACATACTTTGAGTTTTGACGAACGGAGTGGCTCCGACGCGACCCAACGCGATCATGGCACTGAATGCTAGTCTGGACAAGCCCAACGCCCTACAGACTACCCCTTACCCAAGCTTCAAACTTACAGGAAAGCTAGCGCGCCAGCAATAGCGACCAAAACTGGGAATTCGTGACCCATGGCCAAGGGCGCGGCAGCATTCGTCGTCTGCTCTGGTAAACCAGAGCTAGTTGCACTCGCGCCCGAACTGCCGCTCGAAGAAGCGCTAGGTTCAGGTGTCTCGCCCGCTGGAATCGACATGACACCACTAGACTCTTGAGGGGGAATTGACACGTCCGTTGCACTGGGCATAGGAACGGGAGTTGTAACGACAGACTCTGTAACGGGTGGAATCGATACGTCTGTCACGCTAGGCATAGGGACAGGGCTGATTGAGCCAACAGACTCTGTTTCTGTAACGGGTGGGATGCTCATCATGCTACCGGTGCCTACCAAGATTAGACTTGTGCCAGACTGTGTTGAAGAGAAGGTATTTGCTTACATGGCGGGCATGGAGGCTGCACGCAGTCCATATAGCATGACCATGGGTCCGGATCAGCAGAGGTCTGAATGGTAAAGATTGCCTCCGACTCGGGCGTGGGACTGACGAATGGCGAGGTCGCGACCGAGGGCGTCTCTTCTTGAGCTACGGCAACGCTAGCCAGAAGCAGTAGTGTGGGGATGGAGATTGCTGCGAGCATGATGACGGCTTCTTGAAGATGATACCGGGGTTGAACGTTCCTCAACAAGTTCGAAGGAGTCTTGACATGAAAACAGTCACCGTGGGCAAGGTATAAGAATGTGTGCTGTCTGCTGCCTAGGCCGCGTCGCCGCTTCCCATAGTTGCTCGGCTGCCCTCATATGACTGGTGGGGTGTCTTTCAAGATCTTCGCTCCTTCCGCAACCGAGTAGCTTCCTCTCCCCCCCAACGCCGTGCGCAACCTTGGACCACCAATAAACCCCCAGCACGACTCCGCGCCCAGCCTCCATCATGACGACGTTTTCCGTAAGACCAGATATGAAACATGCCATCGCGCCATCCCCGCTGCAGACTTTCGTATCAACGGGTGCCGAGTCAGCCGCAGGGTCAAGCCACCTTCCGAATGAGATATCGCTCGCCCGCCAGATACTGCACAACCTCCAGTACCAGCACTATTGGTCCGACCTCCACGTACACACGCACTCACCGACTACCCACGAGCCTCTTCCCCGCCCGCTGGTCTCTGGGCTTCCCCCGCAGCGCCTCTACGTCCACCCCGATGAGCAGGTCGAGCTACTGAAGAAGGCCGACCGCGAAAGGAAGGCGCGCGCCGAGGGGGAGGCAGGCGGTTTGGAGGTCAAGGCAGAGCCTGAGCGCGAATGGATACTACCCACAAGGCTGAATGAGAAATGGACGCTGCGTGGATTGGCCCAAACCTTCGATGCCCTCACTATGGTACCGCCTACTCCAGACTCTTCAACCACAGTAGAGGAACGCCCGAGCAATCCATGGAGAACAACCAAGCGCGTATTATTGGCATCGGTAGATACGGACAGTACAGTTGTCTACTACATCGTGCACGATGGCGTCGTCAAGCCTCGCCAGAACTGAGCAAGAGATGAAGCATACTATTGTAGACGACAAAGCACTGCTCGCCCGGTCCACTGACACACCTAGCCTCTGCACTCCCTCATGGGATCTCAGGAAAGATGAAGTCTCCCGGCTTCGGCATCTCGTAGAACCGGCTCATGTTCACCTCTGTCTCTGGCGGAAGCTGGTGCGCTTCCGCCCACTCTCGAACCGCCGCAAAATCTCGGCATCGATGTTTCGTGTTGAAGTCGACAAACGGCGTTGGGTTTGGCTCAGTGTCAGCCTGCCACCACACTTGACCAAGCACCCCGACACTGAACGTGGGTGTACCAAGTCAGTACATGTCTCACATGCAGTTCGCATAGGGATACTTACTCTGGATTGCACTGTAGAACCTGCCTCAGGATATCCAGGCAGTGTGTCGTGTGTAAGCGCACAATGTACTCGCTGTTGATGAAAGGGCCTTTCTTTTGAGACTTGTAGTAGTCAAAATTCCAATGCAGTGTCTTGCGGAGGAGGTTCTTCAAATTTCAGTGACATGTTACCAGCGGACCGCTTCTGCTGCTTACCAGACAGTGTAGGTGATGAAGGCCTTCGACATTAGCTGGGAAGCCACCACCATACTCTTGGCTGACTTTGACTTGATCGTGGCGCAGCCCCGTCCGTTTAGCTTCGTCTTCGGCTATCACCACGCCTCGATAATTCACACCCAACGCGTCCCATGCAGCGTCAACCTCCGGGCCTGCCGGCTGTCGAAACGCGTTCTGGTGAAGGAAGTTCCCGTTGAACAACTGCGTATGCCAATTCGGTTGCACATCTCTGACAACCGGAGCTATCTCTATTAGTGTCATATTCCGTCTTCGTTCGTCTGTTACATACAGTATCGCGAAACATGGTGAATGCAAAAGTCATCCGGGTCGGTTATCAAATTTGATCCGTTCACTGTGAAGACTATCCACATCGCTGCGCCAACATACACAATGGTACACGCTATGAGAGTTCTGACTGCGACTTGTACATCGCGACTCAATCGTTCGTTTGCTTGGGACTTGAGAGTCAATGATGTTGACGAGGATGAGCCGGGCAAAAGAGTGTCGTCGTCGTGGCTCTCCGAGTCGCGCTGAGATAGACGCTCGTGCCGAGGACGGTTACGAAGGATGTCGAACATGACGAGACTGTACAGTAGATGCACACGTCCTAGTTCCGGGCATCGATCAAGAACGATAAGACTGGAAGACAAGGTCGAGACAGATATGTACTTGCAGCGAGGGGTGCAGGGCTCTTCAATTTCGTTCCCCCTACAATCTCCCGAGTACTACAATCGGTGCAAATTAGACGTCAGTACAGCAATTTCAGCCGTGTATGACAAGTAGTAACACTGTGATGGCCGTCAGACCTGTCAAACACGTTGGTCGTGTGATGCGAAAAGCGATTCGTCACTTTTCTCGCAGTACCTGATCCTGTTATATGTTCATAATTGATGTTAGCAAAACTCAGTCTATTTCATTGGAGCATCTGTTACCTCACTCGTTACCATGGTACGGCACTATTGAAGAACCTGCGTAAAGGTATCTCAACACTAGCAAAATTTGACTGAATGACTTACTTCACCCTCTCATCATCCAGAGAAGTTCGGCGCTAGACATGAGTTGAATTTGCGATGAGCAAGCCTGTACTCTGAACTAGCTGCTACAAATGAGTCTAGGCATATAACGCTGACTTCATAGCAACGATACACAACTTCCCTCATCTCCCGGATTCTACTATCCAATGAATAGCTGTCATCACCGGTATCACTTGTCTTGTTTATAGGGCATCGATGCAGCTAGCACTATAGAGAGCATTTGAACCATGGCTTCACGAAACTCGGGCCTAACATCTCTGTGCCAAACTCACCTCTGCGCAACCCGACGCAACACCTTCATTGCATCTGCGCAAGCTACTCCGTGTGTGCGACTTCTCTATGCTTACGATAGATGTGAACAAACACAATATTACGCGAATGCGGATGGAACCTTACGCCGTGTGCGCTACAGTCGACACATGCATCGAGGTTGTGCTCAATGCCAACCGCAAATGACATGTACAAAAGGGTGACTCCCGTGTTGAGGACAGGCAGTCATCTTTGACCTCCCCTTGAGATCCCCTTTCAGAGATCCATTGACACGTTCAGTACTTATCCACCCGATCATCTTCTGTCATGCATCTCGTCATCGTCGTCGTGGGCCTCGTCGCCCTGACGGCAGCTGCGCCACTCGAAAAGATCGGCGATACCGAGATGCACCAGGCTCAGGATAAAGACTACACCAAATATGCCGGATACCACCCATACTACTCTTACGGGCCGTACTCCTCTGCAGCCGAAGCAGAAGCAGCCAAGACGCAGCAAGGTGCATCCCATACTCGTTCCCATCATACATCAGGACACTTCTAACCACGTAACAGGATCAGAGGCTGCAAACATGAAGCGAGACGACACACAACCTGTAGTGGAAAACTACGCCCAGTATGGCGTCTACTACACTACCTACGACCCCTATCCATCAGAAGTGGAGGCTGCGGCAGCGAAAGATGACATGGAAAAGCGAGGTTATTCCTGCTACGAGACATACACTCCTTACTCTGCCGCTGTCGAGGCTGAAGCCGAAGAGGCGTCCATGGCCAAGCGTGGATATTCCTGTTACGAAGCATATACTCCCTACCCTGCTGCGGTGGAAACCGAGGCCAAGAAGATGGATGCAGACATGGCTAAGCGCCATATGTTGAGCATGCCCAAAGAGATGATGGATAATATTGCGAGCAGCAGTGTAAAACGCGACATGCCCAAGGAAGTGCAGGCTGCTGGTGATTCCTGGTACAAGTCGTACAAGTAAGCTTGCTGCTTCTCTCTCCCACTCTCACCTCTTTCCGTGCGCACTCTCCGTCAAGCTTCAGCCATCATCCATTGCTCACGAGCACACAATCTGACATGCCTTACGTACAGCCCTTATTCAGCTTATGGCGCCTACCACGGCGTTGCTGAGACTGAAATCGCCAAGACGGAATAGACTGAGACGTACGCAAAATCGGCTATTGAAGGTAATAGGTGGTCGAGGAGGAAGAGGGATAAGATGCACATTCGCAGTACTTGCTTTTGCATAGTCGCTGTCGCTCCTTTCTTTGTGCTAGAACTCTAGGTGCTTTTCAACGGAAGAAATAAAACAGGTCGCTCTTTGTTCCTCTTTCAGGATTGTGCGAGAGGTTGTGAGCGGGTAGTTATTGTTGTGACGAGTGGTTAGGCTAGCGCTTGTGGTTACTTGAAGAACACCCAGTACCACGATACCGCTATACGTGCCATCTCTAAGATTCATAGACCTGATTCAGTCGACCGGTCGTCGCGTATGATTGTACAGACGGTTGCCCCATTCTTTCGCTACTGAGGTGTGCATAGCCTCGGGTAATGTTGTATGCGACTCTCACGGGTTTGCATGCACACATCATATCTCGTACTTGGGACAAACGGCAGCGGACGAGCGGATCACTCGTGGACTGAGGGGACGACCTTGCGTCTATATCTGATGTGTTCGCTGTGATATACGAGTGGTCAAGTATACAGCACGAGATGTTGAAGGAATATGGATAAATCGACCACTCATATTGTAAGGATGACATGCAAGGATTAAGTGGAGAAGAGCGGCCAGGCAGGACAAATGGAATTACGAACGAGGAAAGACGGTTATCTCAAATCATCAAGCGATTCCAGGACCGTGCTCCCCGAAGCCAGCTAGAAGGCCTGTCATGGTTCAGTCCGTAACATCAAAACTGGGTGCAGGGGGTTGGTGTCTCCAAATCGATGACGCACCCACTCCAAAAGTCGACAGGCGCCCATTTCTGATCCCAACCGCCAGCATATATGTAAGCGCATCTATTACTGAAACGCAATCTTCCGGTGGTGGTGGTGGTGGTGGTGGTCGCGTCGCCTACTTTGCAAACGGTCCACTCGCCCAAGTTACGTAGTAATCATTGTGCACAACCCTCGTGATGCACCCACCGTACAGGTCCAGGCAGCATCGTGGCATCAGACCTAAGCGACAGGCGCACCGTTCTGCGCGAGAACGCGGCATCGGAGATTGGATACAAGTGGTCGAATCGGAAAATAGGACATATGGTTTATATAGAGGCGCAATGAAGAACTCATATACCTCGCGTGCGTCTAACGTGTCGTAACGTTGAACAGGGCGGGCGCCCCGCAAAATAGCGACCACCTGGCACACGATGGGTCCCGCCGTCAAAGTTGCCAGCCACAGTGCGCTCGTCTCCACGGAGACATCCGCGTGATATGCAAAAGCCCGCATCGAGTTATACAAGATATACGTGCTTATGAGGCGCCTCATAACGCTGTACGAAGATAGGCAGCGCAGAAGCCCAGGCGACGATCATTGTCCGCTCGCGGCTTGGAAGGCATCGCAAACTGCTTTGTGATGTCTGAGTAATCAGCAACAGGTCTCGAACTGCAAGGATTGCCATGTGGGGAAGGGGCAGGATTGTGTGGCTTGCATCGGCCAACGTGCGGCCAGTGACTTGAGTGGGCCGACAAGCTTGATCGTGGTTTAATCGGACCTCGACGGGAGGCAAGCTGCAAGCGTGCGAATCGTGAAGGCGCCATTACATGGCTCTGGTGCCGTCCCTTGTGCAGGCGACATGGGGAATGCAGCTATAGTATCGGCGGAGGGATAGGCCGCAGCAGCCACCTTTTACAAGGCGTTGATACATCACCCAGCGTCATCATACCTCGTTTCTTGTCTTCTTCAGCCCCGAGTTGTGCCCGCCTGTTGCTCGCTGCTTTTTCGCTCCCGTCTCGCGTGCTATCCTCCTCCCCACATACACAGCCTGCGCTTTGATATAGAGACTAGCGCCCCCACTGGTCTCCAAGCAAGGGCCGTGACTATCCTGTGGAGAAGTCGGAGCTTACCATTTCCCTTTCTTCGGCCGGCGTTCCGATCCAAGCACACGACGTTTGGACGTCTCGACGCCTGGATACGCTTGAAATGTTGTTTTGGGGTTTGAGATGCAGGCGCATGTGAACCATTTGTTCTAATCTTGAAGTTTGGGACCTGATGTAAGACTGACTGTCTCGGCGCTACCCAACAGCACAAAAGACGGCAGGCAGTCGTCGAGAACATGGCCGACTCCGGCGCGACCGCAACCTCTTTAGCCACTCCCTCGCACGCGCGCTTCGACAACGACGATTCACTGATTTTGGCCGAATACGACCTGCCTGAGCTTCGAGCTTCCCCAAACGCGACCGCAATCAGTCCTACCAACGTCATGGGCTCATTCTCCGACTTCGACATGACATTTGCGCAAAGCCAAGGATTCGGTTCCAGTTTCGACGGGATACAACCAAAAATTGAGGCTGGATATGCGGATCACAGAGGCAGTGTTGGCAATATGAGTGAAGAAGGTATGAGTGGCGGCGGGAGTGCGCATCCTAATCGGATGAGCATTGGAGGAAGCCCCGGCCGCGACGGAAACAATACCAGTCCGGAGAGCGCGCCTGCCATGGGCATGCTCGCCATTGATCCCATGAACGAAGCTTCGGCCTTGGCCATGAAGCTCAGTGGCAACGACGGCACAGACCATTCGACGACATCGCGCAGGAGTAAGGATGACACGCAAGATCCACCGCTTTGGAGCGAGATGAAAACAAAGGCTGGCAAGGAGAGGAAAAGGCTCCCACTTGCTTGCATCGCATGTCGTAGGAAGAAAATCCGCTGCTCAGGCGAGAAGCCAGCCTGCAAACACTGTCTGAGAAGTCGGATACCATGTGTTTACAAGGTCACTACCAGGAAAGCAGCCCCGAGAACGGACTACATGGCCATGTTAGACAAGAGACTGAAGCGCATGGAAGATCGTGTCATCAAGCTGATACCGAAAGAAAGCTTACCTTCTGTTGCGAATGTGGGCAGGTCTGTCGTTAAGCCTGCTATCCCCGGCGCACCACCGAAAACACCCACCACGAAGAAGCGTGCCGCGGAAGAAGCTTTCGGTAACGAGTTGGATGAATGGTCAAAAGCAAAAGTCGCAGACCCAGATACGGCTGGTTCGACGTCTCGTGGCAAGGAGTCAGATGAGAGCAAACTCTTAACAGAAGGAGCGGAAAGCTTGCCGTCAAAAGAGATACAGGAACATTTGGCTGAAGTTTATTTCGATTATGTGTATGGACAAAGCTACCCCCTCCTCCACAAGCCAAGCTTCATGCGAAGGCTCGCAACTGGAAAGGTTCCGCCAGTACTAATACTAGCAATGTGCGCCATCTCAGCACGATTTTCAAACCACCCACAGCTACGCACAGAGCCATGTTTCTTACGGGGCGACAGCTGGGCTGAGCGGGCACGCGAGATTGCGCTGAAGCGATACGATGCACCCAACATTACCATCTTGATAGTATACTTATTACTTGGACTTCATGAGTTTGGCACTTGTCAAGGTGGACGGAGTTGGATGTTTGGTGGTATGGCGCAAAGAATGGCATATGCACTGCAACTGCACAAGGAGAACGAATACGACCCGCTCGTCAACGAGTCCGACAGGAAACCTTTAAGCGCTACGGATCGAGAAATACGGCGGCGAACTATGTGGTCTTGCTTCCTGATGGACCGATTCAACTCCTCTGGTACCGATAGACCGCTCTTTGTACACGAGCAGTACATCGAAGTACAGCTACCAGTCAAAGAGCATCTGTACGTACACGAGATACATGCGCCAACAGAAAATCTAGAAGGCGCCGTGCCGAATCCCGTTCCACCTGACAGCGGTCAATTGGCGAATCCGCGCGACAATATGGGTGTCTCAGCGTACACCATACGTTTGGTATGCATCTGGGGTAAGCTTATTAAGTACATGAACTTGGGAGGAAAAGAACGCGAAGCAGAACCTATGTGGTCTTCCGATTCCACCTTCCATGCTATCAAGAAGGAGGCGAAGGATTTCAAAGCGGCATTGCCTGAGATGCTTGTTTACAACCCTGAGAACCTCAAAAGTCATGCTATTGGCAAGACAGCGAACTCGTTTTTGTATCTTCATATCTTATGGCAACAGATCATGCTGTTCATGCATAGATTCGCGTTGCCTTCCACAGCAGGTAGCAGACCACCGAAGGATATGCCTCATGACTTCCTCACAGAGTCTGCTCGCTCTGCGCTCGACGCCGCGAACCAAATCTCGATGCTCATCAACGAAGCCATGGATCACAACGTCGTCGCACCATTTGCAGGCTACTCGGCCTTCTTCTCTTCGACCGTCCATGTTCACGGCGTGTTCTCGAAGAACCCAAAGCTGGAAGCGCAATCGAAGAAGTATCTGGCATACAATGTCAAGTACCTGACAAAGATGAAGAAGTACTGGGGCATGTTCCATTACATTGCAGAAAACCTCAAGGAGCTGTATCGTCAACATGCCGATGCCCAGCTGAAGGGACCGAACGCGACCGGTGACAAGAAGAAAGGTAGCATCTTTCAGTATGGTGACTGGTTCGACAGATACCCACACGGTGTCTCGAAAACCGACTATGAAGATGCTGCTGAGTCAAACTCAAATGAGCCAGGTACTGATGCCGTCCTGGGACACAAAAGCGATCTACAGAGCGTGGAAGAGTTCTTCGCATCTTTATCTCCGCCATCAAAATCTGATCAACAGCGCAAGCAGGCGCGCAAAAACAAATCAAAGTCCATCTCGAAACCCGATCTTGCTTCGTCGAACAACCAAGATATGCCACGACTACAACGGCAGAACAGTCAAGCTCAACAGAGCCATACTGCCCGTTTGCAAGCACAACAGCAAATGAACCAAATGAACATGGCCTCGCAAGATGCAATAGACGCCGCCATCGCCGCTGGCTACGACCCTGCTGCTCTCTTTGCCCAACAACAGCAACATACCTCTCCCCAGCAATTTCTCGCTGATTTCGCTGGTTCCCACCACGCGCATCAACAACATGCTCACCATCCTTCTCTTCCACTCATCAATACCTCGCCTACAATGATACACCCTTCGCACGCACACCAAATGGATCCTACGAACCTCTCCCCCTTCCCCGACCTAGCCAGCGACTTCAATAATGCTTTCTGGAATCTCGACGCCATGGGTCTGGGTGCCAGCGCCAACAACAACAATTTCTTCGATCCGATGAGCAGTTACTTCGTGCCATTCAATGTGGAGCCACCGCCACAACACGGTCTAGGTGATGATGGGGTTTTCGCAGGGCAGGGCGCAGAGGCGTATGGTTTTGCGCTTGGTGCTGGGACGCCAGTAGATTTGGATATGATGCATGGTGGTGGAGCATCAAGGATGCATAGGGGGAGCGTTAGTGGGGGACGACCCACTTTGGGTAGAAGGGGGACGGGTTTGGAGTAAAAGGATACTTATTTTGTCTGACTGGCTTGGAAAGTTCGGGACGGAAAAACTAATGTGGTGATGATTATTGGGTTTATACCATTGAACGGAGTTCTCGTCAATACGAGGCTGTGTATATGGCGTCGGTGTCGATAACAATTGGAGCGTCTCCAAGCAGCGAATACTCGCATTCGAAATGCGTTGCTTCACTTTTACTGCACTAAGATGCCTACATTTGACTAAAGAACAAGTTGGTCCTAAATTGGCCCTCGGTTTCTTATGTATATTTTGAGTACTTTGAGAGAGCCGTAAGCCGGCTTCAAATGTGATGGCGAATTTGGATCGAAGTATTGATTTGCTCTTTCAAACTTATGCGACCTTTGAGCCTATTGTTCGGTATGTACTGAAAGTGCCCAGTTATTTTGGTCAGCTAGCATATTCCGCAGCTTACGATTTTCGTATGGACCGCTATCACTTTGGGTGAGCCTATGAGATCAACATTCGCCCCACCTGCCACATTCTGATTGCTCCACATTACCATCGACACCTCGACTCGTCCACTTACCAACCATCACAGCCGCCATCAGCCTCTTCACCTCAGCCTCGGATCGCAGGATCCGTCGCATGTGTTACTAGGTCTTGGGTTTTAGGAACAGGCAGTACATGTTTGAAGATCTACTGTATTGTTTGGTGAAACACTAGTGGCGACAAGCCCTGCAACATCATGCACCCACGGGTGGATCGCGGACACTAAAATTCGCCTAAGCTGATGCTGAACAGGATAGAATCGAGTAATTGGAAACTTATGATTTGAGTTGGTTGTTTTGTATGTTCGGATTCAATCGTTTTTGGTTTGACATGTCATGCATACCGCGTGGAGAAACCCTCCTCTATACAAGTTCCAAGAACGATACCAAGGTACGATTGCCGCTGTAGTGAAGCTCTCATGCACTAAAGATGTAATACTAATCATCGTGACCTTCAGCGGGAGTTGATAAATTTACGTGACGCAAGAGTTCCCATAGGTCAATAATCTGATGTGTTATTGTGTGAAACGCAGATGTGTTTGCTTGTTTAGTAGAATGCCGCAGTTCCGAGTACAGCGTTTCGCGAATTACCCTTCTTGCATTGAGGGTTTTCGCCTTGGCGCCTTTAGCCTTCATCCCCAGGCGCAGACGAAACTGGCGGTTGGAACGTTGACACCTCTCGACGCCTGGGAATTCTGCATTCCGCCATGGCCAAGCATCTGAGAGAAACGCCTCACCGCAGCCAAGCACAGTTGGCCTTGCCGGAAGACCTTCGAAAACGCATCTTGATACAAGAGCTGGCATGTCTCCATACTGGCCTTGGGATGCCAATAACGAGCGGGGTGGGGTGGGCGGCTAATATCCCAATGGAGAATACGATGCGAAGTAGATCGTCAACGAAGGACGATGAACCAAATGTATAAGACGACCTATGGAAGTCGAGTCTACAATCATCATCAGCTTCCATTTCTCAACTTCCCTATTAATACTTCCTTCTTGATTAGCCTGGTGCTTCTCGCTCTTCGTCTTCTCTTTCCAAGCAAAACCTTCTAATCCACCGAGTTGATCTCAACTTCACATACACACATACAAAATGCATTTCTCACCAGCACTCATGCTCGCCCTTGCGGCTGCTGTTTCTGCTCATGGTGTAGTCACCGAGGTTAAGGGCGCCAATGGTGTCACTATGCCAGGCTTGACCATCCAAGACGGCACTCCTCGCGACTGCTCTAGCAAGTAGGTTTGAACACCAATGATGTTTAGTAGAAACAACTAACCAGACTTCCAGCGGCTGCGGTTCTCAAGCCGATACTGCCATCATCAGAGACAGGGAAATTGCGAGCGGCAAGGCAGGTCCTCTTGGTCGTACACAGGGCAACGGCATAGTCGATGCTGCCGTTATGGTTGGTGCTTTCATGGGACAGGGTACTGCACCCCCTGCGAACAACGGTGCCTCTGGAAGTGTTGGTGTCGAGGACAACATTCAGCAGCCCGGCCAGAAGCGTCAGTTCCTCGGTGGTCTTCTTGGTGGAGGCGCTGGCGGTGCTGGTGGCGGTGCTGGTGCCACTGGTATCGCTGGACTGCTTGGCGGGGGTGGTGACAAGGTCAACGGCCCACCAGAGGCACGCGTAGCGGCCGCAGTAGGACAGGGGGCATCGGGCGGTCTACCCACATGTGCTGATGACGGCACCGTCACGATGACTCTTCGACAGGTAAGCTTTTGAGTCCTACTCTTGTACAACTTTGTCTAACGAAGTCGTTTTAGATCAACCAGGATGGTGCTGGGCCATTCACTGCCGATGTCGACGGTACCTCAGGAGGTACTGACGAGGCCGCTATGCAGCCTGCTACCGTTACTCAGGACGTTCCTGGCCTCGGTGTTCAAGGTATCTCTCTCGCCACCAACACCGAGTTCGCGATGAAGGTGCAGATGCCGGCAGGCATGACATGCGACGCGACTGTCGCTGGTGTCAACAATGTTTGTGTCATGCGCGTTCGCAACGGTGCTGCTGCCGGACCCTTCGGTGGATCTGTTGCTTTCACACAGGGTGCCGCTGCCAGGAAGAGGGCCATCGCCTACAGGCTCAAGAAGCGCATGGAGATTGGTGGCAGGAACTAAGCTGGTTGTTCCAACGAGCTGGGTAGGAATACTACTTTACCTCAATGTTCATAAAGACCTGACTGGTTCAGTGTCAACGATGAATGATAGATGAAGAAATCTGGGTACATATGGGTAATGGATTCTGTAGAGGATTACGAATGATAACAACGGTTTCCTTGACAAACAAACCCACAATCGTGACTGAGCCTTGTTCAGGTCATTTTGCTGCAAGTCGGGACAGATAGATTGCTTGATGATGCTACGATGAGACGCACTAGGGTTTACCGATTCTTTCCATTGCAGGATTAAGCGACTAAGGAAATCCCATGTCGTGGTAACCGTTGTCGTTGGTCACGATTAGTGGATTTGAGATAGGTATTTTACCGAGAGAAGTGCCGCCTACGTGAAGGATCGAAAATCCGGTAAGCTAAGCCCAAGGTGGACCAAGCTTATCTCAACTGCTATTCTACCGTACGCCCCCGCCACCCGATTGCGATCCTGCTCCAGTACAAGCACCAAACACAGCAACAATTTCCAGGTTATTCGGAGGCGAGACACGGTGATTGAGAGTCTCGAAGATGATACTTTCAGATGCGAATTTCGCGATTCCGCCGTAGAGACACTTAGACCATCTTATCGCGCAATCCACTATGAAAATCGCAACATGCACCAAGCCGTAGTCTATTACTATTCGTCAAAGATCAACCGTTCCCACGCCAAGTGAAAGACTAGGAATTCGCTTATAATGATGACATGCCTAGTTTTGAGTGTCTATCTTCCTGACCACCATCTTCCGGTTCGACATGGCCGTCTTCGACTCGAAAGCTCACGCTGAGCACCCGTCACCCACGGCAAGTTTCAACGACAATGATTTCAACCGGATCGATCCTAGCGGAGTCAAGCGAGGTCTCAAAACTCGGCATCTATCCATGATGGCGCTCGCTGGAATTATTGGACCCGGTATTCTTGTCGGCACCGGTGGAGCATTAGGAGAGGGAGGTCCAGCGTCTCTGCTCATAGCTTTCTGTGTCATCGGATTCATAGCGTTCAGCATCACGCAATCCCTGGGAGAAATGACAACATTGTACCCAACAGGCGGTGCCTTCGTTACACTCTCCGATCGGTTCGTCGACAAGGCCTTCGGAGTAGCAGTGGGGTGGCAGTACTGGCTGGTCTGGGCATGCGTGCTAGCCAACGAGTACAATGTCGTCTCCTCGATTCTGGTTTTCTGGGGCCCACAAGTACCTCTCTGGGGCTATTTTCTGATCTTCTGGTTCGCATTCCTAGGCTTTCAGATGTTGGGCGTGGAATCTTTTGGCGAGGCAGAGTTCTGGCTTGCCCTCGTCAAGCTTGCAGGTCTTTGCGCCTACTTCATCTTTGCCATCATCTACGCTTCTGGTGGCCTCGTTGGGCAGAACGAAGCACTCGGGTTCCGGTATTGGCATGATCCTGGTCCGTGGGTCGATGGTTTCCGCGGAGTAGCTACGGTGTTCGTGTTCGCTTCGACTTTTTATGCCGGTGTTGAAGCAGTCGCTGTGGCTGCTACAGAGACCAGAAACCCTTCGGTAGCCGTACCGTTGGCAATTCGACAAGTAATTTGGCGAATCCTTTTCGTGTACATTGGAGTTGCTTTCTTCTTTGGTCTCACTTGCCCATCAAACGCGGACGGGCTAGCAAACGGAGCCAGCCGCGCACTCAAGAGCCCCATGACTATAGCGCTGCAAAACGCTGGGTGGGAAGGAGGTGTGCATCTTATCAATGCTTTCATCTTCATTACAGTCCTGAGCGCTGCCAACTCCTCAATCTACATTGGGTCTCGTACAATACTCTTCATGGCACAAGAAAAGATGGCGCCCAAGTTCTTGGGGAAGACGAATAGCCGTGGAGTGCCGGTTTATGCGATTGTCTTCACGAACTTGTTCGGCGCGATATCCATGATGAACGTCAGCACTGGAGGAGGTCAAGCGTACTCCTATATCGTCAATCTGTCCGGTGTCTCTACCTTCCTTGTTTGGGGCTCTATCTCTTTCACACACATCCGTTTCCGGAAAGCTTGGAAAGCACAAGGCCGAACTCCCGACATGTTACCATTCAGGTCGTTCGCCTATCCAGCCAACGCCTACTTTGGAGTATGCGCTAATGTCTTCCTTGCGCTTGTGCAGGGCTGGACAACACTGAGTCCGTTCGATGCGGGTACATTCGTCGACGCCTACATTATGCTACCAGTGTTCGTAATTATGTTTGTGGGGTACAAAATTCTTTTCAAGACAAGATTCAGAAGAAGTCAAGAGGTTGACCTTGACACAGGCATGAGAAAGGACTTGGATATGAGAGACGAATACCTGCAGGGAAGTTCAGATACTGGGCCGCAGGGGAAGCAAGGTTTTGTACAGAAACTTTGGCGGAATTTCTAAGTAGCGTTATCAAAATGCTCAGTCGTCCGTGCGACGACATACTGATTGATGACAATATCATGCCAGTGAGAAGGCTTCGTTCAACATATAGATAGCGACAACCAAGGTCAATGCGTGTTAAAGACCTTTTTTTGACGAGCGATACAAAACCCCGAGACTCTGGGATTCGGTCGCTCCCACTTCTTCGGCCTGTACAGCATACCCGAACGAGGGACAAATCCCACATCGATCACTGTAGACAACGTTTCGATCTAATAATAACGGTTCACCAACGTCCAGATGGATGCATTTCCGTCGACTTTTCTCGTCCTGTTACGCCCTGAAGGATCATAACCCTTGTCGGACTGTATGCTGATTGGCTATGTTCGATGATAATAGCCGTTGGCTTAAGGCCCGCAGCCAATGTCATTGTGGCCTAACCATTTAGACGACCGCGCCGCAATGCTGCATAATTTCATGCAGCCTCAAAAACAGCTTGTAAACCATCGATATCATTTGCGCGATCGTAAAATCCTTCGACCCGACACTTGCTACTTGCTCGCTCGTACACTCGGCTTCGTTGGGTCTTCTTTCATTGGTCAGATCGCACTTGCCCCAATCGCTATGACTACTGCGGCAACCGTGTCCGGTAAACCACGCCAAAGGGCTTGGAAACCCAAAGCCCGCTCAGGTTGCAAGACGTGCAAGTAAGTGATTGCGTCAATGGGCGCGCAAGTTCTCATAAACACGGTACGACTGGCTCTACATCAGGAGTTGGGTCCGTTTCTCGCGGTTGTTTAGCCCAAGATCCCGCAACAACCAGATCGAAAGTTGAACATCGACGCGACAACTTATCATAGAAGTATGAACGGTGCCACCAGTAGGTGTCATCAAACTCCGCACGTGGAGCGATATCATTTGTTCCTTTTGTAATGCTGCGTATTCGATGGCCGTTTGCTGATTTGTACAGAATACGCAAAGTCAAGTGTGATGAGGAGAAGCCGCACTGCAGGCGATGCACTTCAACAGGCCGTACGTGCGATGGCTACGACCCAAATTTCAGGCCTGCGCAATCATCAACACCCTCTCCACCGAACTCATCACGAGGCTCGCCTCACTCTGGGTCAAGCTGGAGCCTTACACGAGCTGGATCGCCAGTATTCATTGCGCCAGCCATGCGGCTTAACAGCAAAGAGGAACGGGAGAGCTTCGAGTTCTTCACTTCCTACGCTGTCTCGAACCTGCGCGGATTTCTCGACTCGCCTTTTTGGCAGCGAGAATTGCTTCAGGCCGCTCACCATGAACCTGCAATTCAGCACTGCATCATTGCTCTGGGTGCCATGTATCGACGCTTCTCCGAAGGCAGCGACTCGCACCTCAAGGAATCTGCCATGCTGGACAGGTACTTGCAATTTGCTCTGCGGCAATCAAATCAAGCGATCCAGGATCTGTTGAGAAAACAGAAATCGAGCGAGAAGGTAGCTCGAACGGACAAGGTCACCCTTATGACGTGTGCTATCCTGTTCACCAGCATGTGCTGCCTCCAAGGCTACCAAAGAGACGCAATTGAGCACGTACGTAGTGGCATACGGATGTTGAACGAGGCAGATGAAGAGGAAAACGAGAAATTTGGTCACCCGATAGAACTGGAGTCCTTGCGCACTATCTTTGTGGGATTCGACACGCAAATCAGAGCGATAATGCCCACGCACCTTTCGCGCACATGGGTCCCAAAGCCCAAGACAAAAACCCTGAGCGCGTCACCAACTCATACTTTGAACATGTCTACACTTCATGCGATGCTAGGACACACGCAGAGCTTGATGAACAGCATCCATGCATTTAACCAGAGGACTAAGCTGCGCCCAGAGGATGAAGTCGACGAGGCATATAACGAACAGACCGAACTCATCATGCGTTTCCATAGAGGCGCAGCCGTCATGGAACATCTCTGGAAACAAACCCCTGCTTTCGGCGACGAATTTCTCCAACCTCTCACCGCTCTGGAGCTCACGCAGGCTCAGATGGAGTACCTCTTGCGTGATCCTAGGTCTGACCTGGTAGTCAAATTTCCCTGTTTGGGTAACTTTAAGCAAGCTCATGGGCCGTTTAAACAGCCGTTCGATGTCGCCGCACAGTTTGTACGCATCTTCGAACTCGCTGCCAAGCTTCTGCCACTATCAGGTGCTATAACACCGATATTCCAGGCCCCAGTGGGACCAACGTCTGCGCTCTGGCTCATAGCAGTCCGCGCACCTTCGTCTTGTCAGGTGTTGAGGAAACGTGCTGTACGGCTCATGCTAAGCCATCCAAGAAGAGAGGGTTTTTGGGATGGTATGCTTGCAGGTCAAATCGCAGAAGAGGCTTTGCGGCTAGAACAAGAACGAACGCGATCAGAGCTAGGTTTATCCGAGCACGACCTGAATCAAGATCTAGAAGTGCCGGAGCATCTACGCATCATTGCATTCTACCTAACTCATCCGGAAGATAGTGATCGTACTGTCAAAGTCGAGTTTTCGGATGCGCGAGACCTTGCCATCGGTATTCCGGGATCTGTCCGGTGGATTAGCTGGTAATTGAACGGCTATTTGGGGCGTCAACCAAGACCTTCTTCCTGCGAATCCATATCAAGTCATCTCGTCACTATAATCGAGATAACCGGGCTTGTTTTCACTGTAAACACAGCACCTCGACGAACACGCCTGTCTCGCCTTAGAAACCACAGCAGGTACCTCAGCTGGCGACGCACAAACGGCACGTTCTCCCGTTGTTGAAGCCCCTCCGAGTACTGACTGAGATATCGCTCTACTGTTACATGTAAAGTAGAGAATTTCAGTGACAACTTCAATGAACTATACACTGCTGAAGAGCCAACAATCGGAGAAGTTGTTTGTAGCCACGAGAGGGCAGAAGAAGTGTTCCCAGAGATGATGAAGCACGCCAAGCCCCAATAGACTATCTATATAGTCTAGCGAAGCGCTCGATTGGACGTACATGCAAATTTGAGCGTAATATACTGTACATAGAATCGTATAAGCAATGGCCAGCACGCAGCAACCGTGTCAGCCCAGCAGAATCTTCCTTTCCCTTTCAGTCTCAACCAAACTATGACCCTACGACTCCTCCTCGCCCATCAGGAACGCATCCAAATCACTTACACTCAGCCTACCACCTGCCCTCCTCATGTTCATCGCTCCGCCTCTCCCAGCGATATCGCCCTTCTTCCAATTCACCCAACTCGTGCTCACAATTCTGGTCTCGGGCTTTGGCCTAGCCGTCAACTTGAGTCCTGTCCCCAAACTGCCCCGCATGACCTTCATAGCAATCTTGCCGCCGCGTATACTGCGCAGGATGTGCGAGACAGGGCTGTTGTCATCCCCCCAGACGGAGCCGTAGGAATTCTCCCCGGGAAACAGAATGTGTGTTGTGAGTTTTGCAAGGGGCGTTGTATGCTTAGGGAAGAGTGTGGCGATGAGGTGGGCAAGGGCCGCGGGAGCTTCGTTTGACGTGGACGCGGAGAAGGACGGGAATATCCGAGGCACGTTATTTGCGTGTCGGAACTCGCGGGCGAGTGGAGGGTCAAGGCGGAGGCGCGGACGTGTGGGATTGATTGAGACGCCGTGGCGAGCTGATCGTGTCGAAGGGTTACTAGCAGACCGGGTGAAGCTTGTGGATGGTCCTGACGCTGGGGCGTTGAAGGATGATACGGCGAAACTACTAGAAGGTGTCAAGCGTTCATCATCGCTCATGTCTGGATCTCGAGGATCAAGCCCGTTTTCCGGGCGAGGGGTGTAATAACCAGAGATGTAGACTCTTCGCGCTTGTTTCAAAAGGTATGGGTACTGGTTCTTCAACACCAAGACACCGTATGGATAAGACACATAGAGTGATAATCCTTCTTGGTTTTCTCCGTCGTCTTGTACCACACCATCGGCATCAATTGTAGAACGCGCCTGCGCGATATGGGTTCGTCTTCGCGTGCAATCGGTCAATTCGTCATTGATCAATCGAGAAGTCAACAACAGCGCCACCGGAGCGGAGAAGCCCAGTCTCTCGCCCTCAATATCTTCCATATGCCCATTGTCGACAGGAATCGTTGGTGGTTTCGCGACCGAGAGGAGAGACGGATCGTGATAGCGTCGTGCCAGCGGCGCGAGATCGAGTGGTAGACCCGGGATTTCGATTTTGCGTGCGCGATCCTGGATTCTATTGCCAAAGCACGTAGTGTAACCAGCACTGACTGTGATCGCGTGTTCTTCGGTGAGGAGGTACTCGTAGATCTGGCATCGTATCTCGGTAGGTAACGATAAGAAACCGCTATAACTGCTGTCTGAAACACTCATGTTGTGGTTGTAGGAAATTTGCGATCTTCAATGTTGTTCAAAAGTATAGGCTTTCAGCAGAATTTATTGCATCAGAAGCATACCAAGAGCATAAACAAAATACTTCGAGCTACGTGTTGTTGTAAGGTTGGGTGGGAAAGATCGAAGATGGGATATGGACGAATCATGGATGTGGGGTGTAGAGCGGTGAAACACACAGATGCCCTGCATGAGCGAGTCACGGTGGCGGGCCGAGAGCCTCACGCGACGAGGCTGGCCACTGCTCAGGGCCATATGTCACGAATGCCCAATCACGTTTTTGCAAACGGCTGTTTGTTTACGCCAAGATGTATGCAGTTATGACTCTTCGATTACGCTACGGTAGTCCCTTTAGGTCAATCGTCCTCACTGTCCTCGGCTCTTTGTTGCTCAGCCAACTTCTGCGCTTGTTCCCACTGCATCGCAAACTCTCGCAGTTGACCCTCTCCGCCACTACTTGCATCCACGACGTCCTTGGGGAGCTTGTGCGCACTGTACTGTGGAGTCGAGAAGCCGTAAGCCTCCGGGTCGTCTTTCCTTATGAGCCGGAACTCTGGCTGCCATATTTCCTCAATGTCGTCATCATCATCATCGGTATCTTCATCTTCATCTACATTGTTATCATCTGCTTTGATCGGCTCGCTCTTATCTCCTGGTTGGGCTATCTTCAGACGCACAGTCGTCTCATCGAACGCAGGTGCATCAGGTACCTCCATAGTAAGGAGTTCCATCCACGAAAAGATGAGAGGGTCAGTCCGCACAGCCCACGGGTTGAAGTCGACCACCCAGACCTTGTCGTGCGGTGGCGGCACGTAAATGTCAAAGGTGAAGTTAGGGTCGGGGAAGGTGTCTCGCAGTTTCGCATCGAAAAAGTCTTGAATGGTATCGCGTAGCTTGTCCTGCATGTTGAACAAGAAGTCAAAGTGGTTCAGATCCCGCTGGCAAAGGGCAATCAGCCGTCGGTTTCGCACAAAACATCGAAACTCGACACTGGGGTTTAGTGTGATCCACTTCCTTAAGACGAGGTGGTAAGGAATCTCTGGGTCTGGGGTTGTAGACTGGTCGGCTGTGTCGTCAAAGGCGTGCGCCAAATCGTGGGTGACGAAGTCGCTGCTCTTCAGCAGTAGATAGATATCGTTCGGTGTACGGCATTCCATGCTGTTTGTTGCGGCTATCCAGGTCGCATCTTTGGGCGCACTCCAGTTCAACTTTGGCGCAACTTTGCCGCCCAGCTCCTCAATAGTACGCTCGATGGCTTCGTGTGTATCGCGCCAGTGCGCGCTCGGGTCTGGACTCTCGTCTTCATCAGCATCGTTGTTGTCAGCGCCTGAGAAGATGCCGCTGTCGTTGTCCGACCATGAAGGATCGTCGGTCTCCTCGGGGGGTAGGATGATGCCGTCTGAGCGAAGGTAGTCGAGGAAGGCAGACGGGAGAGGAATCAAACGCGCTTTTGGTGTTATGGCACGGTATCTGTTGATGTCAGAAACGTGCAAACTCTTGAGAGGGGGATACCAACTTCGGATGCCATTTGTGGTAGGAGCAGTTCAAGATGTGCTCCTTAGTGACTGGTGGGAAGGGCAGCTCTCGATACCCCACCTCTACTGGTGCAGAGGTGGTGTCGTTGCTTGTCGTATCTTGTGTGCTCATGGTGGTTGAGGCTTGTGTGAGGAGAAAAGACGAAGTCTTGCGCGCCGAGGATGTATATCCAGAAATAATGACTCCATCTCTGGGTGAGTCTTCGCGGTACCAAGGGAAAGTTTTGGTGGGGCAAGCGATTCAATGGTTGCGCTTGGACCTCACCTCCGAACTCTCCGCAAACCAGCCCTGATCCATCATCACTCTCGCGCCAGCAACACTCGCCCCAACCCAACACTCACCTTCACCCTACACTTATCGCGCATCATGGCCGACAACGTAGGTCTCACTACACCTAGAGGTAGCGGTACCTCGGGTTACGTCCAGAAGAACCGATCCCTTCTTCGACCACGCGACAAAGTTCAGCCGTACCCCAAGGACTGGGAATCGGCCAAACACCGCCCCCGACAACCAGACGCCGAGATCCTCGAACACGAAGCAAAGCGCGACATCGAAGTCAAGGTCCTTGAGCTGCGCGACAAGCTTGAAGATGAGGGCGTCGACGAAGATGAGATCGATGACCAATGTGAAGGCTTGCGTCGCAAGCTAGATCAAGAGCGCAAAGACGGCAAAGATCTTGGTCCAAACGCGAGGCGCTTGAAGTCGCACCAAGTTCACGACCTTGCTAAAGCGAAAGCGGAAGAGAGCGAGAGGTTGCGGAAGGCACTGGGCATTAGTGCAGACTATGAAGAAGGAAGTCACTGGAGGAAGCAAGAGGAGAGGATGCGAGATAGTCTAGTCAAAAGGGAAGCCGAAGACGAGGAGAGGACTGCGAAAGCCAAGGAAGCTAGGCGCTACGACGAGGGCGACTCCGACTGAGGTCCTGCGGGTTGGTTATCTGGCGTGATGAACATTCTGATACCCACAACTGCCACTGTGCGTCGCCTCTAGAAACGTAAGATGATGCCCGTAGCGGCCAACACTCATACACTCGTCTTTTGCGTATCTACGACAAGGCTCGAGTACCAAAGACGAAAAGTGCCCATCACTGATGCGGGAGCTTCAGGCACAGGCAGGTCAGCTTTGTCTTCTAGCGCTTAGTCTGTCCCTAGACTGACTTGGACAGACCATTCTTTAAACGAGCCTCCTGACTTTTGGTTCTAATGCAGGAACCCTTTACACCATGCCAACTGACTTGACTTGACTATCTTCGTGACCATCTCACTCCACTGATGCGCACCCAGGATGATGAGCGGCCTGAGAGCTAGTTCTGCAATGGCGGGCTACAGATCTCCACTTCGATGCAGTTGCCGGTACCTGGCGGACCGTCAAGAGAAAGAAAGCGTGATGCACCATGCGCAAGGCGCCTCATTATGGTTTCGTCTTCATCATACCTCGCTCGCTTTATGATGGTATAGCGACATCTCATACAATGCATGCATATCGCCAGTTACTACAGCTGAGTGAGTGGCTTTGCCATCTGCAACGCACTGGTCAGGTTGGCATTTCTTATCGGCTTAGATGCTTACCCCGGGCGGTCCAGGTATTAGCCCACGTGGGCCACCTGAATGGCCAGTTTTTGACGGAGACGCCAAGCCCTCACCACGACTGGGGTCATGCCGTGCAACTTGGCTCTCAAACGTCGCACGCCGTCTTTTCAATTAACGCGAACGACAAGGCTTTTGGAATGCCTCCTCGTCACAGATGTGGGCGTCGCATACTCTGAACCTCCACGGGAAGCGGTAGCGTACCGCATGCGATAGCCTTCACCCTCAATTGGTCCATTCTTCAACACCACTGTTCCGGTATCGTGGACGTATAAACCAGGTCTCTCCGCATTTGCGGGCTAGCTGTTGCTCCCTGTAGCACCACCACTGCACCTTACGTACTCCGACTGTCACCATGGTCCGGCCTATTGCTGTCATTCGGGAAACATGGAACATCTACACGCCTGTCGAACGCAGGAACATCGCCATGTACATCGCTGGCATAATGATGTACAAGTTCGGACTCGAGGCTTTCAACGGATCTGTTATTGCGCTTGCGACCAATCGATACGATGATCTTGGAGAGAGGACGCATACTTCCATCACATTCCAGCGTGTGGGTGTGTTGACGGGACTTAATCAGGCCTTTCAGTGTGTCGGTTCAATCCTAATCGCTCCACTCATCAAAAGATATCCAACCAAGAACGTTTTGGCTTGCGCAGTGCTCATATTTGCCCTCATGAGCAGTCTTCTACTGATTCTGGATGCTGCAACTGGCGGCAAATTCGCGCCGCGCGGATGGCCGGAGGATGATTTTAGTTACTATGGTGACTACAACACGGACGCCATGATACCTATTTGTGAGTCTGTGTTTTCAGTTTATCCAAGGATTCCATTTTCAGGTTCTTCGGTCCCTGCCGTCTGCCGCTTGAGCCTATCGCTCAAGAGGGCATCTAGACAAACATGGCAGCTGGTGCTTTACATGTTCCTCCATGGTTGCTGACAGTCACCAGATTGCGTCTGCGGTATAGTTTATGGCATGGTTGAATTGATCCGACGAGTTATCCCTCGAGATTTGGTTGGCGGCCACATTCAGAAACTCCGACGAATGGACTCTTTAGTCCATATCTTCTACGAGATTAGCGGTACCGCCGGTGCATTCTGCACAGCACTCGCACTCATTCCTCGCTTCGGCAACAACTTCAGCTTCATCATCACCCCCATCTTTTTCGCCGCCGCATCGATACTCTGGTACTTCATCCAAGAAGCTAGCATGCCGAAGGAGAATACGTCTTTGGTCTCAGAGAGCCAACCGGCTTACGTCAAAGCCGTGATAAATGGCTTCTACCTTTTCTTCGAGTCGATCGGAACTGGTGCTAAGATCATCTTCAAACACCGCAAGTTTATCTGGCTGTTGCCTGGATATGCCGTTGCACTCTACGCGCACCGATATCTCGAGAACGCGATCGCTCCTGCAGTAGCACGACGCTACTTTGGCAACTCGGCCTGGTCACAGATTATAGTGGGAGGTTCAAACTTTGGCGAACTTCTGGGAGCCTTGTTCGTGTTCATGTTCACCAACTTGGTACACACTCCGATACCATGGCTGCGGCTAGACGCACTGGCCTTGCTGATAGTTTGGTACCTGCCGTACTGGAACCCTCCAAAGGACGATGTCGCCCAAGCTTGGATCGTAGGAGCCACATTCCTCCCCATCAGTTTTGGGTGGGCTGCCGGGGATGTATCGCTGGCCGCATACATCCAGGCATCGCTAGCACGCATCGAATCGAAGACACAAAACGTATCCGCACTCGGAGCCGTCATGGCGTTCCTATATAGCACATACATTGTCACTTACGCAATCGCATCCGTTTCCCTCGGTACATACATCGACCGCGTTTCGGATCGCCACAATGACCAGATTCACGGGGCTATACTGAATGTAGGCGCCGTACAGTTTACCATAATCTGCGTGCTGGTCATGACAAGCACATTCGTTCCAAAGGGCGCCTTTTCACTTAACCCGGAAATGCTGAACGAGGAAGACTTGGACACTGATCTAGAGGATGAGGATTTGGAGTATGTGCCTGGAGTTCATGCCAAAGGCAAACAAAGCTATGAAAGCCACGAGATGGTCAGTAGAGCGAACAGCGCGGAGTAGCGCTAAGTTGCGATGATGTAGATGCACTTTCTAGCAAATGAAAATCTCTATACACGAGAATCAAACGTACATTCAACCGCATACCGCGATGCGAAAAGTTGATACCGATATTCACACAGGCAGGTACCTTGATGTCCAATCAGATAAGATTAGCATCCTCCCGCGGGGTAGCGTCCTGGACTGATAAGAATTAAGGTTACTTCGCCGCACAACCTCGATCATCATGATCTGTCGGTAGACGAGTGCATCGGAGGCCGGCAAAAGCCGAGACAGCATTTTCCATGGTGAATCTCCAACACGTGTCTTCCTCTTCAGCCCTCATTGATCCCCCGGCTTCATATGTAAGATGGCGGCTGTTTCATGGACGACTCCGGATGTAGAAGGTGACCTCCACGATGCTCCGTCGCGGCACTATGGAGTAGCTTCCGCAGCGGAAGCTCGAGCCTGCCATAGAAGGCATGTCACTTGATAACCCTCTTGAGCAGTAAGAGTGGCAACTAAGCACTCGGCGCTCCAGGTTTGAGACAGGGGCGCACCAGCATGCGTCAACACGCCAAGCCCATGTGCTCACGGGGCGAGGTTTGGTTGGCTCGACTACGCCTTCACGCACCTCCAAGTCAGCAACAACACCACGTCTCTGGGTTGCGCCAAGCAAAAGCTTCGCTCACAATCACTCGCGCTGCGGACGCCATTTGCTTTTAACGGCGCCGTGCAAGCATGAGCGGAATCTGTTCCAGATCGCGCGTCTACTACGCCTTCCTGCGACTGCTGCTCTCGACCCATGGATGAGGCCGAACTCGACGGCTTACGCACAAGCTCTCTATCCGCCTGCGACACGGCTGCGCGTGCGCAACTCAGCTAATCAAGCTCAAGGTCCCCAGAGTCTTGGACCCGTCAGTTCCTTACTTTCGCCCTGGTTTTTGTTGGCGGCGTGCTCACTACTTGGTCGTTGTTCTTGTCGCGTCTTGTGCGTGGTAGCCCAGTCTGACATATTCAGCCCGCGTTGGGCATACCTCCCCTGGTGCACTACCGCTGCTACTATCACTGTTCCTACGACTGCCTTTTGAAAACTACTGGGTAGCACATACATCGCAAAGAGTCTGGTGTTGAGGTTCGATGAACGATGCAGCCATATCCACAGCCCAATGGACCATCCAATAACGACAGGAATGAGGGCCGGGGGCCGCTGAGTAGAACATGGCCACAGCTGTTCAAGAAGAGGAGGAGATATAGTCCGGTTAGAGAGAGCGCCCAGCAGCAGCAGCAACAACAGCAACAGGTGCAACACCTACAACAGATGCAGACACAACCACCGCAAATACAACCACAACAGCAGCCAGTGCAGTTGCCGATACATCCTATCCGCCCCTTGAAATCACCATCAGTAGCAACACAATCAATCACATCACCAACAGTATCTTCGATAAGGTCTCCATCAATAGCGACAGACAATGCGAGTACGATTTCCTCAATATCACATGCATCATCAGCACCACCACCAAACAAGGTCGCCATCGCGAGAAGAAGCAGCAGCATCATTCCGGCCGACAGCAATGGTATGCTTCTTTTTCGTCTCTGTCGTCATGTCCCGTGACCAACCCGTCCTAATGAAGCTTTGAATAAACGGACATGGATAGCGCACTAACTCATGACAGGAGCCGGAGGTGTAACAACCCCCCAGGCAGACCTTCTAGCCTCAAAATCAAACTACGAGCTTATCTCTTCTGGCCAACACCTAGAGATGGGTCTGCACTTTAGCACCGCCATGGCCACAGGCGTAATGATGAAGCGCGCCACCCACCGCGCTGCAGAACAAGCGCGCCGTGACAGGATGAAGAACGCCATGGTGGACCTTGCGGAATTTCTCCTCGATGGTGAAGTTACTTTTGGCAGTGGCACTACGTGTTTTGTTGTCATGCGAGGGAAAGATGGTGGAGACGATAACGAAAAAACCTCGACAGACGATGCCAGTAATGGGAAAAGTGGGAAAGGTGTGCCACCTGGGGATCCTGTGCCGGGAGAGAAGAAGACGGTCAACAAAGCGAGGTTGATTGAAATGGCGCTCGAGAAGATGAAGGCACAGGAAAAAGAGATTGAGATGTTGAGGAAGGAGATCGAGGATCTGAGGACAGAAGACAAGATGGATGTGTCGTAGTCATACTTGGAGATGGAGCGTGTGTATTTGTCGTCACAGAAGACACTTTTGGAGACGGGGAGCTGGGCTTGAGCATTTCATCTTGAGATATCCATCATATACGGCGTTGACATTTTCGGCATTAGTCTCCGGCATATAGCTTGACTAGCATAGGTACAAAGCACTCGCTGAACACATGGCAGAATTTGCTGTGAAATCATCTACTACATCCGACGTTGTTGCAATGTACCCGTTGTGGCGTTAGACTAAGTGGAGTTGTACCTGGAGCTTGCGACCGTTGAAACTCGTTCACCTTGCAAGTCTATCCGACGATCCTAAGCCTCCGCGGACGATTTGATGCAAACGCCACTTATTCGCTCTTACATCATGGTACGATGAGTGACCGGGAAGGGAATGTAAAAGTCTGTATTATCAGTATCACATCTAGACATGTGCTAAGCTAACAACGCGAAGAGGAGGTACGTCTTCTTCGCATAATCCGCTGCAGTCTTCCTCAGCCTGTTCACTGCGGCTTCATCCAGGTCCGCTAGGTTTGTCTTCTTAGCAAGCGATGCGAACCTGTCATCGTCCTCGCCCGTGTTACTGACGAAGCGCTGGATATACAGAAGATCGAACAGTAGTTGCTTGACTCTCTGCTCCTTTGCCTCAATGTGGTTCGACGTTGATACAGTGAGTTTCGGTTTCTCGGTCTTATCTGTCGTTGTAGAATTTTCGTCTTCCTTCTTTTCCTCGCTTGTATCCTCATCAGGAGCGCTCTGCTCTTTCGCATATACGTCAATGGCATCAAGATGCTCTTGAACTGTTTCGACTACTTTGTCGGCCACCCCACTTCTCAATACCTGAACACTACCAGGTGCCCAAAGATCGCTGCCAAGGGCTCCCATATTCTTGTTCAGCGTGCGCAAAAATCTAAACGCGCTAGGTGATGGCTGGCTTGGTAGTGGTGGATGTCCTTCCCACAGGATATGGCTGTTCGTTTTGACTTTGAGAGAACCTAAAAGCGACGCCCTGTAAGCCTCTACAGTGGGCTGGGTTACACACAAAGCCAGCGTAGTATGCAGAGGCTGAAGACTTTCAGAAGTGAACGGCGATGCGAGCGGTGTTGCCTTATCCTGGAGTCTTAAACGTGGTATCCGATCGCCGATTTCTCTAACCACGCGAAGCATAAATGCCGCCTTTTGCGTTGATTGTTCGCCATCGGATTTCTTGACGATAGTGTTGAAGCTCTGACTCAGGTTCTGCATAGCTTCGCTCAAGGCTTCTTGTGTAGCTTCTTCAAGCAACTTCGGATCGTCGTCACTAAGTAGCGCTTGTTTCGAATCTCCAAGCTCATCGTCGGATTCATCGTCAACGTCGTCTGCGAAGGTATCGTCCCATCGTGCTTCTTTCATGCTCTTGACAATGCCCTTGACTTCCAACACAGACTCCATCCACTTGTCAAAAGCGGACGTCACACCAGTAACAGACTCGTCACGCCCTTGATAGGTGTTGAGTATGGTAGATTTGAAGATTTGCGCACCATTGCTCAAATCTGATGCTTTGGTCGTCGTGTCCCAGAGTGAAAGCGCCACGGCTTTGTCTGACGAGGACACTGCGTCCAGCTGATTCGAAAGCTCGGCAACGACATCCTGTAACCCATTCGTACGGGATCGCACTATAGTCTCCAATTTGTCATTCATCGTGTCTCGTAAATCATCGAGAACGTTGGCTGACTTAACACCCGCCATTCGCGAACCAGACAGTATCCAAGTCTCAATCAGCTCTTGTCTCAAGTCCGCAACTTCTTTGAGCCGTTCTTCTTGCTCTAATGCTTTCTGTATACCTTTGAGGAAAGCGACGATGACGTCCTTGGACCAGCGGTGCAAGATGCGCTCTGCTTCCGGTCGCTGCAGCTCGTCGTGTCGCGGCCATGGCGTGTAGTTCCGAGCTTCATCGCCTAGCCATCGATCGTGTACGTCCAGGTTTAGCTCGTATAGACCGCGAATGTCGGGGTCTTGTATCAGCGGGTGCGCCTTCAGCTTGCTCAAAGCTTCTGCTAAGCGTCGCGGAAAGATGGTTTGTGTATCGAGACATGTCTGTATACAAAGCTTGAGCGCACTAATGCCATGCTTCGCAAGTTCATCACTCCCAGCCCTAAGCTCGCTGTTCATCTTCTCCAGCCGCATCCTATGAAAATGGTGTAATACATCGGTCGGTGTAGAGCTCGTCGCAAGCGCATACGCACACATGCTTTCCACCAGGCTCGCTGTCTCTCCTTGTGTACTCGACAGACGCTTGTCAATCCTTCTAAGAAGCTTTCTCCGTACCGACAGCAGTCTCTCCCACAGCTGATCAACAATGGGCGCCTTGTGGCTGGGCTGACTGAGCAGCGACTTGTGGAGTAGTCTCGAGATGACCAGGACTTTTGCAATGAGCAGATATGATCCTCCTGTTTTCATGAGGCGCGTCATGACCACCGGCGCATTGCGCATGACTGAGAGCTGGGATGCGAAAGTATAGCGCTCCGCATCTATTGCCCGTCAACCCACAATCTCTTCACAATGCATTTGTGTAGACTGACCGCGACTTCGTGTATGGGTATCCATCTTGCCCGCATTGTTCGTTATCTTGTCCAGCCTTCGCGAGTTGCAACTCTGCCCTACTCTTGAAAGCCTACTTTCGACCTGCTCCATGCGCACTTCCATATCGATGATCGTTTCGGCCGTGTCGAGGAGACTGCGATAACTCGCCCTGTATTCCCGTCAGCCTCTTGGTGCTCCTCCCGTATTTGTCTGGTGCCTCCTACCCAACGAGGGACCGCAGCTTCTCCCGATTCTCGTCGGCATTGTTGCGGAGTTGCTGTTCGAGCTTACGGACTACGGGTATGGGATATTGGAACGCGTCTTCCCATGACTCGAAGGTTCGTGGGTCTGGCGCGTCGGTCGCCATGGCGGTTATGCTCGGGGAATCGCGTGTTGGCGTCGTGTTGCTACACGTAGAGGTACACGACGATGCTACGTTTCCCCACCAATCGCACGCTTAGTCATCGCACCTGCCTATCGTTGACTTGTCATCTTGAGCAGGCATGCGCTCTTTGGCAGTATCATGTAGTCTCAGAAAAAAGGGTTCAAAGTGAATGCGTGTGTACAGCAATCGTTGTTAGTGGTGTTGAAACCAGAAATGTCTATCTCTATCTCAAAACATGGTATCACAGGTTAAGCTCAACAACTCCGACCTTCCAAACTCCTATCAAATAAATCATTCCACTTCCGTAATATCATCGCTCTCGCCAGCAGCGTTTCTTCTCCTTAGCTCGCGTTCCACTGCCCTCAACATGATCTGCGCATCGTCAAGCGTCAATTCCTCCCCACCCCTCATACTCGCCAGCAGCTCCGCAAACTCTGGGTCATCAGGCTCAATGATTTCGACCCTTCTGTTCTTTGTCTTCGGCTTCGGTGGCGGCAAAGGCATGAAGGCTCTCTTAGTGCTGCCAAATTTAGCAATCATTTCTTCAAATTCGCCTTGTGGAGTGCTTTGGCTGGTGACTGCTCCTCCAGCGCCGATACGCCAGACGTCTCCCTTTTCTTCACTTTGTTCGTCATCAATCTTGATCGCAGTGCGTATGACGACGTTGAAGTCACCGCCGCCTCCGACGTCGAGATAACCGAGCACACCTGAGTATATGCCTCGTCTTGCGCCGTCTTCTACATCCTGAAGAATCTCGCAAGACCGCTTCTTGGGTGCGCCAGTCATGCTACCTGGGGGCAGACTTTCGACGAACGCATCGAATCCTAGGTAAGGAACGGATTGCTTGGCGGGCTTCTTGGAAGCGTATTCTACAGGATCTTCCCAATCTTCTGGAGTGGTGGGTTTGTAGATCCCGCTAGGCACTGCATCGACGACTGAGACCAGTTGCCAGAGCGTTTCGTATTCTTCAACTTCCATGAGCTGGCTTACTCGGACGTTTTCGGAGCCATATACGCCATGAAGCTGGTGGCGAGTAAGATCCACAATCATGAGATTTTCTGCGCGTTCCTTTGAGGATGAGAGGATAGCATGGGCCATCTCAGCAGTCACGCCAGGTTTTTTTTGAACTGTTCCCTTTATTGGTCGACACTGTGCAGTTTGCGACCGGTCCCAGCTTATGTATCGTTCTGGTGAGGAGCAGAGTATGTGTACGTTGTGCATCCTCATGTAGGCGCTGAAAGGCGCAGGGTTTTGGCCGGTCAAGCGCTTGTAGAGATTCCAGGAGTGTTCATTGTCCTCTGCGTGAGAGATTTTGCAGGCTGTTGGCTTGCGAGCACGGATTTCGTTGCGATGCGTGAGGCACAACTCGTAACTCTGACCGTCTGCTATTGCATCCTGGCAAGCACTGACCTTCTTGCAGTACTCGGTTTCGCCAACAGTGAGCTGAACACATGAGTCGATGTATTGGTGCATTGTGCCGTGAGCCTCAAAAGGGTCCGCCTGTCTCATTGCTGCAGAGTTTGGAGTAGTTTCACGCGACTTGAAACCTGCGTGTTCATACAGTCTCTCCGTTGTGTCAATAACCCAGTCTTGGTCGAATGGTCCGCGGATACTCTGGACATAGATCTTCTTGAACTGATGGTCAAACACGATACTTCGCGTTATATAAGCGAAGCAAATGTCCGGATACGAAGCTTCTTCGTGACCATGAACATCGATTGTCTCTAAGCCGGCCTCGTAAGACGCATAGCCCATAAGACCTCCCCAGAAAGGAGCCCATGTTGAGCCTTTTGGCGGTGTTGAAGGCTGAAGGCTCTTCATGACCTCCCTCACGTAGGGCCATGGGTCAGATACAGTCCAATCGGTATGTACCTGGCCTTTGCCGTCTCGGAGTTCCATCCTTCGGGTGCCTGCGTAATAATGTAGGCGTAGAGTTTCCTCGGGAATGACGACACCTATGATGCTGTACCGACCCGTACCCACAGCCATAGGCACCAGATTCGACTGTAACCCTGACTCCAACACTATAGCTTCGCCTCTTGTCAATTCGAACAACTCACAAGCGTCCGCTACTGTAAGTCTTCCGCTTCCAGTAGTTGCGCAATGTACGGTGCTCGGTGGCAAGTCTGGCAATGACTGTCCGTCTCCGTGTGCGATGAGCGAAGCAAGCTCAAATGGCGTTATTGTGTCGCTATCGAGTTTTGCGACGAAGTCTGTGTAAGAACGCTTGCTCTGTTTCCTGGCGTCGTAAACGCCCAGCTCTCGTCGGAAATCATCAGCAGTCATTGGCGAAGATGGCAAGTTTGGCATCAAACCATGCTTGGGAACGTTCCGGAACATACGTTTCCGGTTCCAGGATTGGGCGTCTTCCCACCAATTCCGAATGATGCGCTTGCCCTCATCGTTTGTGCAGATTGACTCTGGGTGGAACTGGACACCCCAGAATGGCTTCTGTATATGTTTCACGCCCATGAGCACGGCGCCATTAAGATCACTGTCAAAATCCCATGCCAGCGGCTCCAGTTGGGGACAGGTTTCCGTAGGCTCCCAGAGTTGTGCAGGATACCGTACAGCGCGCTTGTTTTGGATGGGATGATCGAGTTTGACTTGCAAAGAATGATACTGGGTAGCCAGAAGGCTCTCCACGCCTCGGAAGATGGATTGGCTCTTGTGTAGGATAGCCGTGATGATACCATGCTTTGGCTCGTTGAGTCTTTCGATATCAGCCCCAAATGCAAGGCAAAGCGATTGAAAGCCGAGACATATGCCAAGCACAGGGACAATCTGTTCGTCTCGCAGTCTCCAAAGTTCTTTCATCAAACCAACATCCTCGTCGCATTTAGCCCAACCAGGTCCTGGCCCAGCAATGATGCCATCGAAGCCCTTCAGATAGTCGGTAAATGCTGAATAGTCCCCGGAAGCTGATGGTTTTGCGAGAACAGGGTCGTCGATAAAGATCTTGACGACTTCTGCGTCTACATTCTGTTCGACCAGCGCGACTATATTGTTGGAAAACGAGTCATATGCGTCCAGACAGAGTATCCTTGGGCGCTGAGTCAGAATTGCGGGCGCCATCGCTCGATTGTTTATACGGAGGCCGGAACAGTTGGTCACTTTTGGGCGATGCCAGAATATAGTTCGATTTACAGCCTTGTAGAAGCCTGGAAACAGCGTCTGAGCGACTGTTTGGTGTTTTATCGTGGTCGATGAAAAGTCTAAGGAAATGTCGATAGGGCTGAAATCTTATCCCGTGATAAGTCCGGCGGTTCGCCGGCGCGCGTTGCGGAGCCGCGGAAGAGGGCTTCTGTCCGGATCAAATCTGAGTAGGCAAATGGTAGAGGGGCGGTGTGAGAGATGAATGAAGATGATCGTGTCACGCAGTGCAAAATAGCGATCTTATGCCAGGACGCCACTTGGTTAGGTTCAAGTGGCTCCGAATGCAGGGTCCAACGGAAGCGGCCGCTTAGCTTCTCGACGCTTTCGAGGTGTGCATGCCCTCAAAAAGGAATGACAACCCTTCGCTAATGCTGTTTCACCTGGCAGATCGGACTGTTGCCACCTCCTTAAAACCCCCCGCCTTATATTCTAGAAGTCGGAGACGCGTTACACTAGTATGCGACACGCGACACAGCTGCGAAGCCGAACCCTCGCAACATCGTACATTTTCTTGAAAGTGTATCTGCAGGTTGACACTAAAATGCAACTTGGTATAAGCTTAAACAGTTTCAATTCATGTCTCGAACACGACACAGGTGAAGCGTATCCGTTTGGCAATAAGGCCTCTGGATATGGTCACACCTCGGCATACTAGAGCGGGCAACGCGCATGGGCCCATGTCGTCATGTCGAAATTCTAGCTATCTTTGCATCTGCAACAAGCAAGAACATCATTGTCATTAGAGAAGCGCAAGCTCTACGCACGCCATGTCCTGGCTCAAGAGGCGAGCAGGTCCATTGATAGTTCTCGGAACCTCAGCCGTTGGGGGCGCCGTGTACCGCTTCACCAGATCCGCAGACCGATCCGACGCATCGCTGAACCCGCATGATTTCACGCCGTACACGCTCGTAGACAAGCAACCCGTCTCTTCCACCAGCGCAATCTTCACACTGCGCAACAGCAATGGCGTATCGGACACAGAGAGCGTAAAGGAGGTGTGGAAGCGAAGCGTCTGGAGCGTTCAGATTAAGCAACCACAATTACAGATTGCACGTGCATACACACCGCTGCCCCCTACGCCTCCCGATCAAAAGCATGGCGAGAACGAGCCGGAAGACATGAGGTTGCTCATACGGCAGGAACAGGGCGGCGAGGTTTCGACCTACCTGCACCGCCTACCCGAACAGTCCACGGTCGAATTGCGAGGACCGAATACCGAACTCAAGCTTCCCCGCGACATCATAGAGGTTGTCTTTCTGGCAGGCGGAACTGGCATAGCACCCGCAATGCAGGTTGCGCAGGCGCTGGCAAGAAGAACTGGAAGTCGGATGCACATACTATGGGCGAACAGACGCCGTGAAGAGTGCGAAGGTGGCATCAGCGACGATAGAAGCACAACGTCCGCGCGGGGCAGAGTAGGCTGGTGGAAGAGCTTCTTCGGTTCCGGCGAGCCTGTTGCGCAACTACCGCTTGCAGACGACTCACCCGCTGCACCCAAGGGCGTCATAGTAAAGGAACTGGATGCGCTCAAGAAGCAGAGCGGAGTCGCAACGAAAGGCTTGACTGTCAACTACTATGTTGATGAAGAGAACTCGTTCCCAAGCCCGAGTGAGATCGAGAGGAGAATACAAAGGCAACCGGAGGAGAAAGGCTCTAGATTGATCATAGTGTCAGGGCCAGATGGCTTCATCGAACATTGGGCAGGCAAGAAGCTCTGGGCCAACGGCAGAGAGGTGCAGGGCCCACTGGGAGGCCAACTAGGGCGCATGCACTTAGGTGAGTGGAAGGTGATTAAATTGTAAGACAATGCATGTTGATCAGCGATACCCATCTCTGCTATTCTTCAGGCTTCACGTCTTTGTTGGTTAATCTTAGTATACTATTGGTGTACTCCGCGGATCTATAGCGTGATCCTCGACCTATTCGTTCTTTGCGTCAGTAATCGCTCGTAAACGTTCTTCCACGTCCAACCCAGGGATAGCGCAGCCATACTTGCCTAAATAGCGGCTAGACAACATGCAACGCCTCATGGAGCAATTCCGCGCGCTGAATAATTTCATGGTTTACACTTTCTTTTGATCCTTATCAGATCTTGCTTCATCGCTCCCGGCGTTTTTTCAGATTATCTCTGCATCTTTTCGCTTCGTTTGCCTTGTGTTCTTGTTTTAATACATCATCTGCTAGCAAGATGGACGCCGATACAGATGCCGAACTCGCCACTACCATCTCACATCCAATCAGCAACAATGATCCCAACTCGCGACCAGACTGCTTCACATCCACGTTCCAAGAATGCATGTTCATCGTCTCGGTGACGATGGCTGTGGCCATGACGAGCTTTTTAACCGGCTCCATCACCGTCATGAGTTCCTTCGCAGGTCGAGATCTAGGCATGACGAACGCGGAAATCACATGGATGAATGCTGCCACGTCTCTTACAGCAGGTTCTCTCCTCCTCTTCTTCGGCAGCATAGCAGATCTTTTCGGTCGCAAATCCATGTTCATCGGCTCACTATTCTTCTTCTCCGTCTTCTGCCTCGGCGCCGGCTTCTCACAGTCTGGCATGACTCTCGACATACTCTGTGGCGTCCTAGGTATCTTTTCCGCTTCTTCTGTGCCTCCGGCTCAAGGCATGCTCGGCGCCATCTATGAGAGACCTAGTCGGAGGAAGAACAGAGCATTTGGGTGTTTTAGTGCAGGAAACCCCATGGGCTTTGTGTTTGGAACTATTCTGTCTGGACTGTTCACCCAGGTCTTTAGCTGGAGGGCTGGTTTCTTCCTGTTAGCTATAGTATACTTTGTGACAAGTATCGTTGCGGCTTTTACTGTACCAAGGGATACGCAGGCGAAGCAAAAGCTGGACAAGGAGACGTTGAAGAAGCTTGATTTGCCGGGTACTGCGTTGACCATCTTTGGGATCGGCATGTTTTGTGCGGCTTTGAGGTATGTTTTGGAATTAGCTGAGGAGTTACTTCGCTGACGTTGGCCAGTTTGGGAGGCGATGCGCCGAACGGGTGGAAGACGCCTTATGTTCTTGTCCTACTGATTCTAGGCATCATGCTAATTGCGGCTTTCATAGTGTGGGAGATCAAGTATCCATATGCTATGATCGATATGAAGATATGGTACGACAGGGATTTTTCTCTCGTAAGTACTGTCCTTCCCTCCTGACTACCATGTCCCGGCAAGTTACTAACATGTATACTAAACCAGCTCCTCGCAATCCTCTCATGCGGGTTTCTTGGGTTCCCGGTTCTGTCTTTCTGGATCGCACTCTACTTCCAAACAGAGTTGAACTACAACGCACTTATGACCGGCGTACACATGCTACCCATGGTCGTTGTAGGCCTCACCGCTAATGCCGTCGCTGCCCTAATCCAACACAAAGTCTCCAACAAACTGCTCGTAGGCATCGGTGCCGCCGCACTAACCATATCCTTTACTCTGGCTGCTGTACAGAGGTACGGGGACTCGTATTGGGCTTTCTCTTTCCCTGCGCTATGTTTGTGTGTGATCGGAGTGGACTTCCAGTTCATCGTCGCTAATGTATGTCGAATGGCCCAATCCGAGTCGGCTTCTGCCGCCTTTTCCATTGTTCATACTGATTACGCATAGATGTACGTCCTCTCCTCGATGCCTACGAACAAGCAGTCTATCGCAGGTTCGCTCTTCCAGACTTTGACTCGTCTCTGTACAGCTATCGCATATGGTATCGCGACTGCCATATTTGACGCTGTGCAAAGAAATCCTGCTACCTCTGGTTATTATGGCAATAATTCTGTCGAGCCTTTCGCAGCAGTATTTTGGTTTGCGGCTGCTGTTTCCGTACCCGGTTTGCTTCTGGTGCCTTTCTTGAGAATTGGTACGCAGGGCCACAAAGGAGATACTGGACGGGTGAAAGTTGGTGTTGCAGAGAAGGGTTTAAGTGGGGACGATGGACATGTCGTTGCTGCAGTAAGTGAAAAGCATGGGCAGAGTGATGTAGAAGTGAGAGGAGGCGGGATCTAAGGTCTCAACACTATAAACAGCTTGATTGTCTCAATATTTAGACTTGCTTAAAGGCTTTTTACTTGTGTGACTTGTGGCCTCGTGATGGTATTACTAGGCCGATCACATCTTCTTCTATTGATCAGGGTTGTAGTACTTCCGCCAGTTATGCTCCTCCTTGAATCCGAGAACATCTCTGATCTTGCGGTTACTCAGTGGCGCCTCCCACTCGTCCATCTCCCGTGTAATGGGTGTATTCGGGGCGTACTGCTCCAGGAACTGTTTTGTCGGGAACGTAGCGGTAATGGTGTCATTTGTCGCGTTGAAGACCTGGAAGCCTAATCCGTCTTTCGATACACATAAGTCGCATATCTGGCCCAAATCACGAGCATCAATGTACGCCCAGGCATTCCTCTTACGAACCTCTGGGGACTTGATGTACTTTGGAAAGTCACGCTCATACTCGTGAGGCTCAATGACGTTGCCGATGCGGAGCGCCTGTATATGGGTGTACGGAATTAGTAAATGCCTCATACGCAGTTTGTACACGGAGATGACTTACATAGATGTCGGCGTCGAAGCGGCGTGCAAACCCGCGAGCTACGCGCTCACCACAGAGTTTTGAGATGGCATATGTGTCCATGGGATTTACGTCCATGTCTTCAGTTAGAGGGAAAGCGGTATAGTCGAGATCTCCTTGTCCAAAGCAAACTTCGTATGTTGTCTCACTGCTGGCGATGATAATCTTCTTAACACCGAGTTTACATGCTGCTTCGATGACGTTGTATGTTGACCTGACGTTGCCAGCGTAGCACTCATTGTCAGGTACCAGCATGTTTCGTGCATAGGCGGCAAAGTGAATGACTGCGTCGGGTGGGCCAGGTACATGAGGGCCTTCATAGCCGGCAAAGTTGAAGTGGGTTGTGAGCGCATTGAAGACTTGGCCGCTGCAGAGGTGAAGATAAAAAGTCAGTGTATGTCACATAAACATTTTGTACAGTCACAACTTACCTGTCCGTAAGGTCAGTCTTGAGAGTAAAGACACCAGCATCCGGGTCAGGAAAATCAGTTAAATCACAATTGAGGACGGAGTGCCCCTTTTTGATGAGTTCCGGGATGACATGGCGTCCAGCTTTTCCTGAGCCACCGGTGAAGACGATGCGCTTTCCAGAGGGGGCCATTGTGGAGAAGTTGGAAAGTTGGGGAACGTTCTTATATCTTCGTAGACTGACGATGGAGTTGTTAGTATTAGCATCAGCATGGGTAATTGCGGGGTCGCTCTTACCGGCTGTAAACCAATTGATTGTCTGGTGGGCGCTCTATAGAATCTGGGGAAAAGGGATTGGATGTTCATCCACGCTGGGTCTCAGCAGAGGAAACTCGATCTTTATAGGCGTCATTATGCAAGTCAGGGTCGATAGTCCCACCGGAACATCTCAATGCGAACATGGGCGTGGCGAGGACGGTAGCATACAGCGGGAAGTACAGATTGAGATAGTCGCTAAACCTACGTCACGATCGATACCCCGGCATATGGGAATCGGAAGGGACCCACCCATGCACCATCCATTTCTTTTCCCGTGGTACGACTAGCGCACGAAAACACCGAATCCTCCGCAATTGGCATCTCACCACCTAGCATATCCTTACCTATGGTCGCATATCCCTATCCACACAGATGACCAGCGGTCTGATGCGGCGCTTTTCGACATCTGCCCGCACGCAACTTCTGACTTGCCCAGCACGATCGCTCACTGCGCCCCGGCTGCTGGGGCTCAAGCAGTACAAGAGGAACATCACAGCCGTAGGCGCGAAGCAAGCATCCGTGTCCAGGCACTGGTTTACTAGCTCGTCGCCATGCAAACACCCCGAGCCTGATGAGTGCGAGAAGGAGCGACTGAACGAGCGCAACTTGAAACTCGGAAACAGTACGTTGGTCCTTTATCGAGCAGCGCATCAGGCCACTGACACGACCACAGCCATACGGGTGCTCCACGACCGCCTGCCCACGCTCCTCATATCGCCCTTGCCGCAAGACATCCTCTCCCCGCACATCAGCCTTCACCTATTTCCCTCGACGCATCCTCATCTACCCACCGTGAGCGGAAGGTTCGCATACGCAGCTGCACTGTGGACAGCACCAGTCGCATGGGGCCAGGTACCAGTACTCGGCAATGTGAAGCTTGAGATATTATCTGAGCGCATGGTCAAGAACGGCGCATCGTCAGCGAGCAACGTACGCAACGAGAAGCTTATAGTCCGATGGCAGACATGCAAATCGGAGAAGAAGGACAATGGCCAAGTCAGCGACGTTGTTGAAAAGATTACGAGCATCGTCGCAGGGTCGAAACGACCCCACCAGGAGTTTACTGGGCTCTTCAAGTTTGAATTCGACGAAGAGGGGCGCATCTTGAATCACATCATCGAGCATACGGAAGAGGGCCAGCATTGGGACAGGACAGCGAAGGTCATCAGTGTCACTGACTGGCTGCTGGGGCGGGCGTGGGGCAGACGTGAGGAAGTCAGCCCTAGTCTGGCATTTGCTAGATGTTGGAGGGAGAAGAACAGCCGGGGTCGTGGTGAGCGGCGATGAAGACCACCTTGTTCCACCCTTGGACTTTCACCACTCTTGTACAAGACATGTAACCACGAAGTAATGCCATTTGGATAATGTACAAAATGAATACAATAACAACGACAACAAACACGATGACACAACAGCATCGACTTTAGATGCGTATCCGCCATACTGATGACGACGTGGGTCAGAAAGCGCATCGGAAGATATTCAGAAGGGGCCATTGGCTGGTGGCATTCTGCAGATGCGGAGGCCGGCCATGTGCAGGCCACTGACTGGGTGTTGGGACATGCATGAGACAGCGTGGCTGATGCGCACAAGATTGACAGCTGCCGTGCTCCGCCCAATAAACAGCCATGAGCATCGACCCAGCACTAGGCCAGGTAGCTTCCGCCTAGTAGCGACGACGAGGATCAAGCTTCCGGCGCATCTCCCACACTCCAACAACATCAATACCCCCATCGCCTCTCCCTCCCCCCTCACCGGGCCATCTTCCCTCCTCGAAGAGGTTTTTTCGCGTCTAGCCGCCCACCGCTAGTTGTGCGACTTTCCCGTGCCCGGCCGCCCAAAGCTTCCCCGCTCCATTACACGACAGCGCCGGGAGCTTCAGCCTCATACACCCAGGCAGAAGCCCTATATCCACGAGTGCCGCCCGTTGCGCCCACACAGCCATGGCGGACCTCTCGCAAAGCGGCGAATTGAGTATGTGGTCACTTGTGTTGACAGACACCCGCCTCGAACCCTAGCTAATGCGGCGCAGACCAGCCCGTTCTCAACCTGACGCCCGAGGAGAAGCGCGTCTTCCAGTATCTCTTCCAGCAAGCCGACACGGAGAAGCTGGGCGTCATAACAGGCGAGATTGCCGTCAAGTTCTTCGAGCGCACCAAGTTGGCACCAGCCGTCCTGGGTGAGATATGGCAGATTGCAGACACAGAGAACCGCGGTCTCTTGACCATGGCTGGCTTCTGCCAGGTCCTGCGTCTCATCGGACACTACCAGGCTGGCCGCGATCCCTCCCCAGAGCTGGCTTTCAGACGTATGTTCTCGACGCTTTCCGTCATGACTTTGCGCTGACGCTTATCTAGCCGCGCCCCTGCCCAAGTTCGAGGGCTTGAACATCCCATCCGCAGCCCCTTCTGTTCCTGCACCTCCTAGCTTCTCCCCACAACCCACTGGTTCCATACAACCCCAGATGAGCGGCAACGGCCCCATCCGAGTACCTCCGCTAGTACCTGCCAAGGCTGCTGAATACGCAGGCCTGTTCGAGAAGTCTGGTGCCGTCAATGGCGTGCTCTCTGGTATGTCTTTCGACTACTTGCTAGCACACCTCTCTAACATATACCAGGTGAAAATGCAAAGGAGATTTTCGAAAAAGCGCGGTTACCCAATGAAGTCCTCGGCCGCATCTGGAATCTTTCCGACACCGAGCAGCGCGGCGCTCTCAATGTGACCGAGTTCATCATCGCCATGCACATGCTAGCCTCGTACCGAACAGGCAACATGAAGGCACTTCCAACTGCGCTACCCCCAGGCTTGTACGAAGCCGCCTCGCGACGAGGGCAACTCGCACCTCCCCCAGGACGTCCAGACCAATCAATGTCCATTCCACGCCAGTTCAGCGGCCAGCAAAACGTGCCACGGCAATCGAGTCCCCTTGGAAGGACGCCTTTTGGAGCACCAGTTCCACCACCTCAACCGACTGGCAGCGATTGGCTAATCAGCCCACAAGAGAAGGCTTCATACGACAACCTCTTCAAGACCGTCGATACCATGGGCCGTGGCTTCATTACTGGAGACCAGGCAGTGCGCTTCTTCAGTGACTCCGGGCTACCCGAAGATGTCCTCGCGGGAATATGGGACCTTGCAGACATTAATTCAGAGGGTCAACTGTCCAAGGACGAGTTCGCGGTCGCAATGTATCTGATCCGTCAACAACGGAAAGGAGACCAGCTGCCAGCAACACTACCACCTAGTTTGATTCCTCCAAGCCTACGGACCGCCGCCAACCAAGCAGTACCAGTCGCTGCGCCCCAACCTGCACCACCCGTTCCTCGTGCTGCCAAATCAGCTGCAGAAGATCTCTTTGGCCTTGACGCCTTCACAGCACCGGCTCCTGCTCCTCAGCAACCGCAGTCGACAGGTGGCTCTGCTACGTTCAGCAACCCCTTCGAGGCCGACCCATTTGGAAGCAAGCCGACTTCGCCTACTTCGCCTCACCCATTCCAGCCGCAACCGAGGAACCCTGCCTCTACGTTCAAGCCCTTCATGCCTAGCTCGTCGTTTGGTCAAACTCTTACCGCGCATTCTACGGGACAGTCGGGTGCTTCTGGCCTGCCACAACACTCTACGCCATCCGCAATGGACGATTTGTTGGGCGGAGAGGATGTTGCTGAAATTAACAAGAAACTAACGCAAGACTCAACCGACTTGGCCAATATGTCGAACCAGATGACCACTTTGCGAAACCAGATGCAGGAGGTTCAGAACAAGAAGACCGCGACCGAGGGCGATCTGAACAGTGTCAACACCCAGAAGCGCGACCTCGAGCTCCGCCTATCGCAGTTCAAGACCCAGTATGACCAGGAGGTCAAGGCTGTCAAGGCATTGGAGGACCGACTGGCTAGCTCCCGTAACGAGACCCGGAAGTTGCAACAAGACCTTGTTATGATCGAGGGATCCTACCAGGATCTCCAGAACCAGCACCGACAAGTGGGAGGTCAACTTGAGGCTGATCAACGCGAGAACAACAACTTGAAGGAGCGTATCCGTCAGCTCAACGCTGAAATCGGACAGCTCCGACCCCAGCTTGACAAGATGAGGAACGATGCTCGCCAGCAGAAGGGTATGGTGGCAATCAACAAGAAGCAGCTTGCCACCAACGAGGGAGAACGCGACAAGATCAAGAATGAGATGAACGACTTGACCAAGTCTCAGGAGGAGGGCACTCGTAGTCCCCAAGCCCAGACACCCGCCGTTGTCAGCCCTGCGGCTTCCACGACCAGTCAAAGCACGAACCCGTTCTTCCGCAAGTCACCACAGCCTGCTGAGAACACCATGTCGCCGTCTGGCTTTGCCCGTGAAGGACCCCACAAAGACTTTGACAGCGTGTTCGGTAGCTTTGGCACACCCCAAAGCAGCGCACCTCCTGTGTCCTTCCGTCCCGAGAACCAGAGCCAAGGTCCTAGCTTCTCTGTCCCATCCGGCCAGTCGGTACAATCTTCGGAAGGACCTGGTGTTCCCACACCTTCTACATCGCCTCCTCTGTCGTCTTACCAGGAGTCTCCGCGTGGTGCAGACCCACCAGCTCCTCCGGAGTCGCGCCAGTTCGGCTCTTCATTCTTGCCTCTAAGAGAGGGTGGCCAACGATCCGACTCTTTCAGCTCCTCTGTACGCGGGACTGCTCCTGCTAGCAGATACGGTGCCACTGGCAACGAGACACCTACGATCTCACAGGCCTCACCTGCTAGTACTCCTATAGCTGAGAAGCCCGCCGTAGAGCGCTCTGAGACAAACAGGACCGAAACCGACAACTTCAACCCTTCCTTGTTCAACAGAAACTTCTCAGCCTCCCCTGTGGCCAGCGTCACCAGTGACACTCAGCGCTCAACCAGAGCTGAGGATCGCAAAGACACCTTCACGAACTTCGGAGCACCCTCTGCTGGTGTTGGGCAAGACATCCCTGGAGCCTTCCCTCGAGACGGCGCTACGCCTCTCCAGCAGAACCAGACTGGAGAGAGCAGTTTGAGTGGTCCAAACAGGAACAACAACCGTGCCGACCCCTTTGGCAGCACCTCCAATGAACAGCCCCGTGGAGGTAAGGATGATTTCGACGCGGCTTTCGCTGGCTTCGGTCCTAACCGTCAGAACACTGCCACCGCATCTACTACGAGCGCAACTGCGGACAACTCCAACAAGTTCAACAAGGAGTTCCCGCCGATTGAGGATCTTGCTCACGATGATGATAGCGACAGCAACGATGAGCGGGGCTTTGACGACAACTTTACATCTGCGTCGCCCAATCAGAAGCGTACTAGCACCGGACAAGAGCAGCGTCCTCAGCAACAGCAGCGACCGGGTACTGCGTCGAGCGATGAGCTCTACAGAGCCCCACCACCGACTACTCGCCTGGACTCCAACATTGGTGGCTTGCCCTCCCCTAGCGCGCAAAAATCACCACCTACCTACGAGTCCAGTGTGAACCAAACCAGAAGTGGATCGAACCAATTCCCTCCCGAGTTCGGCGGCCTGTTGCCCTCTCGCGAAGACCCTACATCGCCAAGCTCGCCTGATACAGCGCAGGGCCCCGAGAAGTCGTACAATCCCCCCGGTGGTCACGGAGCTGCTCTCTTTGGTGGCCCGTCCAAATCTGCGACAACGTCGCCCCCTCCTCTAGACACTCCATCGTCGACTGTACCATCCGATCAATACCATTCTGCTCTGTCGTACGGTGCCAATGACAACAACAATAACAAGGGTCCCTCGCCGTCTACTAACGCGCCCCAACTTGGCAAGTCTGCCTTCAATGACGACTTCGACGCCGGATTCGATGACCTAGCGGATGCCAAGGAAGACGACAGGGCTGATGAGGACTTCATGTTCTCTTCGCAGCACCGTGAAGGTCTTGACGAATTCAACCCCGTGTTCGACTCACCAGCTGCCTCCAAGTCCAACACCATGGCTTCGCAGCAGACCCCGACCGGCAAGCCGCGCGGCGATGACAGCTTCAGCGACTTCGAGCACTTGTCGCAGACTTTTGGAGGACAACCTCAACAGCCTCAGCCCGCTGCCTCTTCTCAGGACTGGGACGCCATCTTCTCCAACCTCGAGTCGTCACAGACCGACAAGGGCTCGCACTCACAGCAAGCATCCACTGACTTTGGCAAGTCTGTCTTTGACACCCTCGACAATGAAGAGGCGGCCGCTTCTTCATCCAAATCGCATCAACTGTCTCCTCAGATGCCATCGCTTGGCCGTGCAATCAGCACTGGAACCGAGCATGACGACCCCATTCTCAAGAAGCTGACCGGCATGGGCTATGATCGCAACGATGCCTTGTCTGCGCTCGAGAAGTACGACTACGACATCAACAAGGTAAGCGATGTAACTACTCTCCCAGATAAAGAAGCTAGACTAACACATTTGACAGGCCGCTGACCACCTGGCCTCTGGCGGAAACTAAATATCTTTGTCGCTGTCATCCAGATCAATCGTTCACGTACCACGGATCGCTCTTTTGTATGAGTAAATATGTTTAGCATGGCTTGTCACACAAACTTCATACCCTTGAGCGTTTACTCTCCCATTTTCCACCACCGCTGCGACGCACGCGATTCCCTTTGTTCCGTTACTTTTCTTGTACTAAGCTTTCACCCTGAGACGGCGGCTTTGGTCAGTCTTCGTGCTGGCTAGTAGTAGTGTGGATTTGGTCTGAGCGATGCTTTGCGCATAATGTTCGTAACTAATCTAATTGTTTGCTTGTGATGATCAACTTGACTTTTGCGTTACTGTGTCTTGATTGTCTCTACTTTGTGGGTGAACCAGAATGTTTGTTCACATAGCACATGTATTGTTGACGTGATAGCAGGCAGTTACGCCTAATTCCCATACCCGTAACTGAATCCTTTGAGGGCACTATCCTTATCCCAACGCCTTTTCAGAGCTTTGCGAACTCGTTTTTCGAGTAAGTGGTCTTCTACTACCTCATCCGCGTTATTTGCTTGGTTTGCGGCTGTAGGCAGTGGAAGGATATAGTGGGATGCGGGATCCGCGACGGTATCTCCTCCCTTTTCCTTTTCCATGTTGTTAGTGAGGAGAGAACGAGAAAGTAACACAATTTACCTTGAGCCACTCCTCTTTGGTCATGTAGAAGAAGTCAGCCTTGTGACACATCTTTGAATTTGAAGAGCAATAACTTGTTAGATTCCTCTGTGGGATTTGCAAACTTGTCCTGTCCCGTCCATCCAAGTTTTCATGGAGAACCTGGATCGCATGTCCCTTGTGCAGTAAGTCGTATACGGGCCATCTGAGTAACTCGAGGATATTGAGCATGATGCGCTCGGCTCCAACTGAATACCAGAATTTGGTGTTGTGATATGGTTTAAAAGACGTGGTGAGATTGACGTGTATGTCCATCTTGCGCCGCTTTTCAGGGATGAGTTGTAGAGCTTGTAGGTGAGTTGCGACACTGGCAAAGTTTACGTCACGGGGATCCTCGAAATCGAGCGTAAGGTCAAGGCGCCGGATATGCTCGTAGGGCCTTATACCTAGGACCAACGGGTCGAAGGTCAGAAATGGATATAAAAACTCCTCCGAGGTAAGTGCAAAACGATTCAAAGCATAGTAAGCTTCCGCTAGCTCTTTTGCTACATCGGTTCCAAAGTATGCTGGGTCCATAGCCCAGGATCTGGGTTGAATTTGACAACTTTCGCCAAACATGGATAAACTTTCGAGATCTTCGGATTGCCCAGGCTCGAAGAAGCCGATTTGAATGATGCCATGGATGTCAAAAGCGTACTCAAGCTGGGCTGACGGTCCCACGATGTAAGTGTAGATCATGTTTCGGAGCTCTCTAGGCAACACGGCGTGGAGTTCGTTGGCCAGCTTGCGGCATCTTCTCCTTCCTGCAATTACTGCCTCAATTGCTATTTTTCGCTCTTGATTAGAGCCGATATATCTGTATATAGCTGATCGTTAGCAACAACGGCAATGTAAACAAAAGACCTGAACCTCACTCATTTCTCCTGACCATCTCCTCCATGTATGCAGATGTGATCAAATCACGAGGTGGATCGATGCAATCGACAAGAGAATTTCGTTCCTCGATGGTTGTATCAACGCCAATCAGATTATTGTAGATGGGAAAGAAAGGAAGCAACCTTGTCCGCAGCACAATGCCCCGCTCTCGTAGCAGCCTAGGATACCAAGTCCAATCATCTCGGACAAGAACTTGGCGATGCTGCATCGCATATGTCGAGCTTTATCACACAAGGCAGAATTTAAAACCAGATGAAGCGTAACGGAGAAATTAATTAAAGTAATACCAAAGCCCATGGGTCCCGTTATATGTAACATGCATCATACGCTCATGCACATTCTTCTCTTTATCACATCGCACCCTAAATCTTCTTGTCATTAAACCTTCGTAACACCAGCAGCAACAGATTCGGTTCTCACAGCAGCATCAACTTTTTCTTCGTAGCGGTCAAAAGCAGCAGTTCCCTGGATATGACTGTCCTCAAACACATTGACAGATGTGCTCGCAAACTTGCGCGCGCTAATTCGCTTCTCGAAGAGCAGATCTAGCTCGGCGAAGGAGCGGCCCTTGGGCTCAGGAAGACGGAAATACGTGTAGACGATACTTAGGAAGCAGGACCCGGCCCAGAAGAATCCGGCGTAGTTGCCCCTGTAGTTCATTTAGTATGTTGATGAGTAGGGGACAAGAAGCACTTACCAGTTCCAGGCTCCTGGGTTGAGCATGTAGGGCGTGAGAACGGATGTGATGATGCCGATAACATTGTAAAGGTTGCGACCGAGAACAACAGTCTTGATAGCGAGGCGACGTGTGGAGAGCTCAGCAACGAGGGAGTAGCACACGGTACCGACAGTCAGCTGGTAGAACATGGCCCACACTATCATCATAGCTCCAGTAGCCATAGCACCCGTTTCGCGCTGAGAGTCTGGCACCAAGCCAAGGAAGCCCATGACGAAGAGCATAGCGCATAGTCCGCAGAGACCTCCTAGATAGAGTGTTCGTCGTCCAAACCCAACTTTCATAAGGTACCATGCGCCAAAGACACCGGCCATGTTGATACCATACTGGCCCATTGCGAAGTCGTAGGAAGTTGATGCGGGTAGGCCAGCTTGTTGAAGGAAGTAAGATGAGTATCCAGAGAAAGCATTTCCACTCAGGTTCTGAATCGCCCAGGCCATGCACACGATCTCAGTACGACGCAAGTCAGTACCTTTGAAGCAGTCCCAGTAGCTAGCTCCTTGAGTGATCTTCTCCTCGAGAGCAGTAGTGTGTACCATCATTGCTATCGTTTCATCGGCATCGAAATCGGTTTCGCGGTCGAGGCTGGTAAGTCGAAGCAGAGCCTTCTTCGCATCGTCGATTCTCCCCTTACGGACTAACCACCATGGCGACTCGGGTGCCAGGAACACACCAATGATAAGAGGAACTGGCCACATCCATTGGAGCGCGTAAGGAATACGGTACGACCACTCATCAGGTCGGTCGACCATGGAGCGAATGACACCAATGCCGATAACTTGGCCTAGGCCCCAGCAGAAGTTGACGTAGGTCGTCACTAATTGATGTAAGCTTGTGTGTTGGGTGGTAGAGTTTGGATAAACGTACAGTATCCGCGTAGAGCAACAGGGCAAACTTCGCAAGCGTACGTGATTGTAAGCGTCTGGAAGACACCCCATGGGATACCACAAAGAATCTCCGCAACCAGCAAGTGCACCACTGTTTGAGCTGTGAAAAAGATCGTAGTGAAGCCAATGATTAGAAGCAAGCATCCCATGACAGTATATCGGTATCCAATAGCCTCACTGATCCATCCATTGAGGAACAGTCCAATGATCTCGCCCACAATAACTCCGTTCGAGAGTCCGGCTTGCCATGCTGCTGGAATCTCCCATGAGCCGTCCGGAAGTTGCTCGCCATACTTTTGCTTGAATTGCGGGAAACCAAAGAAGTTGTTCAGTAGACAAACATCGTACCCTTCCATGACGATACACGTGCTGATGAGGACAGACCATCCAATCGCCTTGGGATAGAGTTTGATGCCCTGCATCAGGGTCATCTTCCGTTCATTGTCGGTAGCGAGTCGTGCGTCGTCAACAAGTTTGTTGGCAGCGCGCTTGTGATCAGCCTCATGATCAACATCATGATCCAGGGGTGGAGCCATGGTAGGCTGGATATCCTTCTCTTCCGCCATGGTTACTGTCGTCAACTTTCTCCAAACCAAACGATCGGGCCGATGGCGATCGCCTGAACTGTTCTAGGACGATAGTGGGGTCTGCGACGCCGCTCCACTCACTCTTGACCAAAACAAAAGTAAAGAATCCGGGGAACTGCTACCGTGACATTGGGTGGTAGGACATGAGGCGGTCTTTAAGCATAAAATTTTGCGGGGTCCGAGTATCGTTAGGGTAAGCGTAGTTGTAGCGGCGAACCATGCACGCCAGGGTCTGGGTCGCGTGCAGACAAGTGGAGCTTTCATCTCCTGCGGCCGTGCTCGAGTATGATTGGGTATCGAAATATGCGACCTTCTTGGTGTAGTTAGCCAGCTCAAAATCAACGCTGAAGGGCCCGGGTAACTCATCGCTCACTTGATCTCGTGCACCCACTGTGCATGCCCAGAGGCCTGTCCTCGGCTAGATCGCCAGTGTCGACGATCGGAGAGTTGGCCGACTAGCTGGCCATTGAGCTGGTCGCATCGTGCAGACAATGTGCATGTCTAGGTGAAGACCAGAACCCTCATGCCTAAGATCGGCAATAGGAAACGGTATGTAAGGTGAATGCTAACAGCTGTGATGTTGTCGTGTTGACTTGACCTTGTAGGCGTACGGGAAGCATCTCTTTACCTAGGTAAGCCTAGGAAGAAGCTTGCCGAGGTAGGGCCATGTCAGCTTCCATCCGTACCTAGCGGTGTAGCTTCAACAATGGCCACACTGAACGCAGTAAATGCTATGAATCGTACCAAAACTTGGCTTATGCTAACGTCGGTCTACTTAACGTTTCTGGGCATGCTCGGTCAACTTCCGTTAAAGTACATCAAGCCGTCCTCTGTACGTCCACTGGTTGTTCAACATTGTCATGCTCTTCAACGCCCGTGACTACTTCGGGTACAGGTTCCTCCTTACGCGGTTGTACCCTTCCGCCAAAGAACGCGAGTAGCAGCAAATCGTAAGTCGCTTTCAAGCTGCCCGCTGCAACAAATGCAACCCAGAAATGGTTGTTCCCAGCAAGTACACCAGTGACACTTGGTCCACTGCTCTGAGACAGCGTCTTGAGTATGTTCACGACACCCATAACAGCTGTGCGCTCTCCGGGTAAGACGACGATCGAGAGGAAGGCTGATCGTGGCGCTTGGTCCATAGAGTTGAGCACTGAGCGGCCAACAAGAAGACATATAGTTAGAGCAAGGCCCGAAGGAACCGGGAGTAGCGCAAGGAAAATAGAGGAAGGTAAGTGAGTAAAGACCATGGCTTGAATCAAGCCGAGACGTTTCGCTAAACTTGAAGCGAAGACATTACCAAGTGTCGATACAAACCTGTTGGCTGATTAGCGCATGGTCCGGAAGTTGAAATTTGCTTGCAAACATGACTTACCACGTTGCAGACATGATGCCGCCTAACTTGCCCTTTGGCAGATCAAATTTGCGTTCCATGTAGTAGTTGATCAAACTGAACGGAACCATCCCAGAGCCTAAGGAATCTAGAAAAAACAAGCTGCATAGCTTGATGAGAGTGATGCGACTTGACTTGGAAATCTTGCTAAGAGAATGCCAGAATCTCTTGGGCTTTTTAGGGGATGCTTCCCGTGCCGCAGTGCTTGAATCCTCGGTTTCGTGACCGTTCAGCAACGGTTCGGTCTCGGGCGATGCAGCAGATTTGTTGCGTTCATCGTTCCAGTCGCTATGTTCGCATCTCTGGCTCAAAAAGAGTGTCATCAAAGCCTTGATACAACCAACACCGGTGTAGATCCAGAATATTGCACGATACGCATCCAGATCCGTCCAACCCTCGATAGCTTGCAAGTTGTCGACAGCCACTCCACCAACGGCCAAACCCGTTGACGTGCCCAGTACAGCCAAGACGACGTACCAAGTGTACACATCTGATCTCTTGTCCTCAGCCACCAGATGCGCTAACGTCGACTCTTCGACAGCTCTGAACGGCCCGATCTCGTTTCCGCTCGGACTGATAACACCGATGATAGCTGCGAGAAGCAAAGCAACATAGTTACTCGTTGTGGCGAACACAGCGCCAGATATGGCCATAGACACCGCTCCGAGGAGTAAAGTGCGACGTCGTCCAAGTGTATCGGCAACGAGGGTAAGAAGAAGGCTGACGACTACGTCTCCCAACAACGTCAATGACATGAACAATCCGATCTGTTCGTCTGAGAAGCCTTGCTCTTGAAAGAAGAGTGCCAGGATGAGCGCCACACTGCCATATGCGAAAAGACGGATGTAACGCGCCAGGATGATGATGTACACATCTTTTCCGGCTTGTTTCATAGTCGCAAGCCCCAACTCGCGACCGAGCCATTGTGCCGCTCTGACAGGCGCATTCTGTATAGACATAATCCAGAGTCAAGGATTGAGTGTGTTCGTCTCGAATGCGCCATTCACGTGAATGCGTTGGGATAAGCGAAGGGATGGCGTCTGTTTGAGGTACTCAGGTCGATACACCAGGGTCTTAAAGCATTAGAAAGGTTAGGAAAACTCTAGAACAAAAGAGTAAAGAAGAAGCCTTGGTCGAACTTGCTTTTGCAGGCCGATCCAGGACCCGAGTATTTAGTGTTGTCCGGAGGGGATGCCTAG